ACAATCGAAGGGAGTATACCACCGAAGAACTTTCCCGGATACGCGTCCCTGTCAAGTTGGTCCATTGCCTAGGGGATATCGCGTACCCTCAAGAATACACTGAAAAGTTTATGCGGCAGCTGAAAGACGCTGCAGTCACCGTCAGCCTGGCCACGATACCAGATGCTCCGCACTTTGGCGTTGTAACGCACGGTGAGGTGTGAGTAAATTTCAAGTTTCGGGATACCAGGGCGATGGCTGATAGTATTTTTTTCCAGTGTTAACCGACTATTCTATGAATTTATTTTAGATCATTGTGGGTCATTTGTTCCACCAGCACCCGGAGAAGTCAGTTCTCCGTGGGAAGCGGAATTGGTGAAGGCTGGCTGGAATAAGGGTGCAAACGATTGTGAGGACGATTAAAGGCCGGTTTGCTAATTATATACCTGGTGTATTTTTAGGCATTAATTTACTGGAAAATAGGTGCGTAGCGTCGGACTTGCGAAGCCAATATTAAATTGACAGTGAGTTTGCAGTGAGTACATGTAAACTGAGATTTCCGCACTGGTTGCCATGAACTATGTCATAACTAGCCAGCACCAATAGGCCTTTCCGATTTCACTTTCTCTTCTTTAGCGAGGCTGATACGCCACTCTCGGAGGAACCGCAACCGGATAGGTTTCAAACACTGAAGGTCTGGACGTTGAATTCGAGCCTTCAGCACGCGCTGAAACCCTACAACGATCGCCTAGAAATCATTGATCTATCAGCTGGACCTGTCGTTTCCATCCCAGCCATTCCATCGGGAGCATTGTTGTAAATGAATTTGTAGTTTGAAGGTTCGCGGCAATGTCGCGGTGATTACCGCGAACATAACAAGCAATGTACCTGGTACCAGAGTAACTCCCTGGTTACTCCTGAGACGGGTTTAACCTACCAAGCCTTCCAAAATTTTGAAGGTGAGATACCAAATCGAAGTCACGGCGACGGTCTTCTCAGATAGTAACTAGCGACTCCGACTTGTTGTAGAAAACATCCATGGGTCACCGCTTGACGACAAGAAATTCTCGTCGCTGCTCAGCGCTAGCATTGAACCCGAAGTCCACCCGCGACGGTTGTTCCATCAAACACCGCATTCCTAGTTTGCGGATTTTGATTAACAGGTCTCTTTTTTAGCTTCGCCTCCGAGCTTGAAGGAGCTTCAAATGCGAATTTGGCCTGTCCAGCCAATGCTTGAACGAGGGCTGAAAATTGAACTACGGACCGGCTGTGTGTCCAGCTACCGGACCTTTCTCACAGCGAAACTGCGCGCGCGTTTGTTTTCCTGCGATCAGTACTTTCTGGAACCTAGACAAACGCCGGATTATGACTCCATGAGCGTCCTGTAGAGGCTACAAAAGAGAGGAAGTGATTGAACCCGGACCGGTCCCGGCATCGTTCCCATGTGGATCTCCTTCCTCGTCTACATCCATGTTCCCAAAAACCGTCCACAGTAACTGTCTCACGTAGCATACAAGAAGAATGAGTGAGTAGGAGTCAGGATACCGCCTCCCAAGGGGTCAAACAGTATCAGTGAAAATTTGAGGCGGTACCAAGAGCAGTGGGTCCAATGTGAAGGAACGGCTGTCTAGGTACGTCGCCTATATTCCATGTTTGGCCTCTTCTTCTCATAGCTTCACCGCACAGTCGCAACGGCGCCACGTACTCGTTATTCTCCGCAGTATCCTTTTCCTCGGCAATCTCGGGTCCGCCGACAGCCACAAGACGCGGTCAAAAGAATCTCAGAATTCCACGGATGCCATGGCTGCCCGAGCAAGGAGCGAACGGCCTTTCGCAGTTCCAGGATGCCACGGTCACACGAGCAAGGAATGGCTTTGAGTACGGCACTTGAATTCATCGCAGAGCGGGCGAGAGCACGGTTCTCTGGTATTTGCGCCACGGTTTTTTGTCTATGAAAAAGCTCGAGGCGAACGACCAAGTCCCAGACACGGCTCCAATGCAGCGAGCATACACTACAGAATCTCAGCCCTTGTTTGGGGCTGAAGGCATGTTCGTTGTCGACCTAACTTTCGTCACGTCGCCTCCTCAGACACCATACGACGCGTTACCTTCCCTTCCAGTCTGATGACAGCGCCAGAAAATAGAGAGCGCAAGCAAGGAGCGATGACTTGGCTACACTTCACGCGATTCTATTCCCCGTCTAAACGAGGTCTTGCCCTTTTCTATGTTCGCTGCCTCGTGATTACTTTCACTGTCGCATTGTAACTCATCTACGAACTTGTATCATGCGCTCTCACCTCTGCCATGGTCTCTGGTCCATCAAAGCGATGCCATTCTCATCATTGCATCATGTATGCGTCGGACTGGCACCGATCCCATGTCACTGCATCCCCCGTATAAAGACGCGCAATCATTCCATTTTCCTTCTCCTGTTCCACGTTGTCCTTTCTCATGCCCTCTAACCGATACTCTTCGTGTTCAGCCGTCCATCTGAAACTCAAAAAGGTGCTCGTAAAGATCCTCTTGGTAATACTTGACATGTATACTTTTACACTATTATCATGGTCCCTTTGGTGCAGTGGTAATCGCCGTATCGGCTGCGTTTACTTATGACTTCGGTTTGAGTCCGAGAAGGTACGATTACGATTGAACAAAACAGTTCTTGTACTTTTTTTCGGTTTATTTTAGATGCATGGCTTGTGGTTTGATCATGTCATCATGATGAGAGGTTGTAAGATTGCGAAGAATTTACTTGCTGTAATCGAATCAGGCTGGGGGGCTGAATGCAAAGGAAAAAGCTTCAGGAACCCTGGGGCTTATTTGTTGAGCTCAAGATTCGGAAGTTGGTGATTGATAACACAATCTACTACCGAGTCTGGCGACGTGACATATCGTACAGGAACTGCATGCAGCCCTGGAGGAACGGCGTCTGGTCCAGGTTGATCCTTTCCGTACGAAGAGCACATCCAAGGGCACTTCGGCATAAATGTAATCACTTTATGATTTCGGTTCGAATCTGGGAGGGAACGCCATATACATATCAGCGCAATGTTTTGTTACTTCCGTGGTAAGTATACTATTCTAAAAAGTGTTTTCTCCTAATCATAATGTCAAGGTCCCTCTAAATAACCGTGCTAAGCGCTTGGCGAATCTGTGCTTACTGTCCTGGTTAGTGCTATAACTCCGGTATAGATGTAATCGTGAATTCAGGCTCCCGGTTCGAATCCGACAGGGCGCGATATCTTGGCTAGTGCAGCTTTGATAAGCATAATTTTTAGTGGATCCGCAATGTCACTGGGGCTCTCCTCCAAATTGTTCGCGAGAATATGATGGAAGAACTTTGCAGGTGAATGGAGAATGGTATCACCATTTGTTTAGAGTTCCAAAGCCTGTGAAGCTCGGTTGAAAATCGGTATTTCAGTAGTTATCCGGCACCTACCACAGCCACTGATCGGTTGACGCACTTGCTTTTTTTTTTACATCCACCACCATCATCATCCCGCCACGGTAAATCCCACTTAACGTAGCGCGTCTTAGGAGGAAATATTCGCATATGGGAACCTTTTTACTTGTGCGCCATCGAGCGGTTAAAGGTACGCGATTTCCTGGTTTCTAAGCTCTTAGGCTGCTGTGAAGTATGCATACAGCTCACCTTTTCCGTCGTGGCGCACCAGAAAACGATAGATTAGATCGCCATTGCTCGCATCCATTGTCCTGGACTCGTGCTACAACAGTTTAACACCAGCAAGTCAATGACACTGCCAATATCAAAGCTTCGAACAATGAGCTTCACTGTTCATTGAAACGCCGACTTGGATAGAATACCGTATCCAACTGCTTGCTGTTGAAGCTACGATTCATTATTTCCAAATCTTGCTGTGTCGAGTATACGCCTATTATCTACTTTACCGGATCGGTGAGCGGGGTTTTATGTTATTTCCCTAGACGTTTCCTCATCTGAAGTCTCGCTACAGCACTGTCCTGTACGTCAAACTGCAGGTGCGCGCATCCGTGAGATTTGAAAGGGCATACATCTGATGAAATTAATTATTTAGCGGCGAGATGCATCCACAACCTCGGCGTCTAAGGTCTGTTATTTGACTTTTGCCACGCTGAGGGTAATATGCCTGGCCGACCCGTCCAGTGTGTATGATGTATTACCTGCGAAATCATATACTTATGCAGAGACGGGTGTCCATCGCTAATCGCTATGGACGATTTCTGGACGGACTTATGAACACCTGTGGTCGCAGATCCCACCAGTGGTGGATAATGACCCTCAGATTACTCGTTTAATGTCTACAGCAGAAACGGTGAACCATATTTGTTCGCTCGAGGTCTCATCTGGCCTGTCGGCACGGCCCACTAAGAAACAGCACTATCTCCCATAAAGTCGAACAATAGACTTTGCACGCGTTCTTATCAGTGGGCGCCTACTACATCAAGGACGATCTTCTTATCACATCAATCGACGGGTTCTCGAAGCTCCGTCTACAGCCTAGGGTTCATTCCAAAGGTTAATCGTGGATGTTTTCCTGAAATAGTTCCAAGCTCTTGAGGGCGATATTTGTCGGGTTGCGTAATGTCCCTTATTGGCCGTGAAATTTGATACCTACTAGGTGCTGATTCTCATTGGCCAGACAAGCTCCAAACGCTGTCGTGACAGATCCTACTAGTACTCGATAGTTTGGACAGGGATACAAGATGCGTGTCTCGTTCTGCAACTGCGTCTGTCCTTGCGGTAAAGGCAAGTCAGTCTCCATTACCCGGTCAGTCAAACGATATGTCAATGCTCCTCAGGCGCAATCAAGATCATTATACTTGAGCACCAGAAACAATTTATTTACTCAGTTGAAAAAAATCAATTATTGACTATAGTTTGTAATGAAGCACGATCGTAAATGTCTATTCATTGATTGCCATAGTACCTATACAACAAGAGTAGTGACATGTATCCCCAGACCAAAACGTAAATTCGACAGCAAGTACATTATTTAGATAACACATACCAAAAAATCCTTTCACTTCCGATTCACCGCCTGCACTATAGACCCAATCCCCACATTCCTCGGCTCCTTCACCTCATACACATACCTCCTCTTGAAAATCGCCCCCCAAGCCGTAACACCCCGCTCATACACCCCCAACCGCTCCACCTGTCCCCCCTCCGTCCCTTTAATAACATCATAAGTCCCCTCCTGCTTCAAATGATTCCTACACCTCTCCCTCGCCCACCTCACATTAACCTGACTCAACCCAGGATTATGCCTCACCACACCAACAGCCGTATCTCTCATCTTCTCCCTCTCCCCATACCGGTGTCCCTTTGTCACCGAGAATGTCTTTAACGCGGGAAGCAAGCCCAGTATCGCGGAGAGATGCCTCACCCGGAATGCCGTAGTGCACATGAAATGAAACTCCGTTAGCTTGGGGCACGAGAGCAGGATGGGCCGCACAAATTCGCAATCGGAGGAAGGCGCGTCGTCGGGGATGTGCATCCATATGTCGAGGGAGGTCAGAGAGGTGAGCGTTCGTAGGATCGGGCAGATCAGGCCCATCCGCGAGTCATAGAGCGGCTCGCAGGTGAGATCGAGGGATGTGATGCTCTCAGGATGAGGGAGTTCTGCTAGCTGTTGGTAGATCCCGATGTACGTCGCCAGCTTTGGCAGGGCATCGGACCCAAGGAACGTCGGTACGCTATCCGGGGAGAGCCACTGTTTGAAGTTCCACGCAAAACGGATGTAGTTCAACGTGGAGTGGTTGGAAAGGAAATTCCCAAACGCAATGTCGTTTGGTGGGCTGAGGGTAAAGTCATCTTGGTACCCAAACGAACCGAGTGTAAGGGTTGCGAGCTTGGGCCAGTTACCCGTCGTTACGGGAGTGAGATCAAATAGGCGCGCGGAGGTCGAAAAGCTACAGAGCGAGAGCTCTTCGAGATCCGGGGTATGGTTCAACAGCATGTCCCACATTCTCTCAGGAAGCGCTTCCATCGAAGGGAACAGCTCCGATCCGCCTAAACCGTGTCGAACAGTCAAAGAAAAGCTCTTTAGATTCCTGAATGAGAAGAGCTCGCTTTCCGGGTCCAAGGGTAGATGTCCGACGTTGCTGTATACTGTCCGTAACTGTGGACACCTATATCCGAGAAAACATAAGGAAACGTCACGGAAAACGTCACTTGGACTCACGAAAGCCGCAACGTCTGCCAGAGGGAATCCTTCGGCATCTCCAGCCCGTCCCAGTCAAACGTGTGCATCGTCGTGAGCGACTGCGCAATACTCTCCACCGTGCTCGCAACCCAATCTTCATCCATCCTTTCATCTGCCTTTGGCCACGCAAGGTAGTAATTCGGCCGTACCGCGAGCTTGTGGATATACCGACAGATCTCAGGACGCTGTTGTAGCATCTTGAGTGTCTTGCGACACGTCCTGCTGGAGGTGAGAACGACGGTATCATACAGCGCCGGCATGAGAAAGCGCGCAGATAAGACGACTGCGGCGTCGTCGTCAAGTCAGTGGCATGGACGAACGTTGGAAACGAAGCCTACGTACAGTCAAGCTCAGATTGAGCAGATCGTCTCTCCATAACAGGTTTGCAATCTCGAGGATGATGTCGGCAGGGAGCGTGCCAATGACTTGAGGTGCTGATATCGTTGATGGTGCATGGGAACGGGAGAGAATGGGAACTTGGAGAAGAATGTTGAGGCTCCGTCGACGAAGGGACTTGGGTTGTTGTTCGAGAGACATCGAGGAAGGGAATCAGACGCTTGCACCATCGCCTATATGGTGGTGAAAGGAAAAGGAGCCAAGACCGTTATATCGGAGAATGCCGACAGCGTGTATCAAATAGCCAAATAGGGGATGGTACTAGCAGCAGATGATTCCCGCCTTGTTATGCTTTCAGATATATATCATTATAACAGTGCTGTAAAAACGTTCAGCTTGAGATACATGTATCCAGGGAAAAACGCACAGTTTTTTTTTTTTACCACCAACAGTTGACACAGCCACCCACACTGGCGTGGAAGAATTCCTAGAACATCACAATCAGCATTTTTGCAGCATTCGAGAAGGGAAAGTATGGGAGAAACCCTTCTCTGGATACACGTAACTCCCGCCACTGTAACATCTGTGACTCGGAATGGATAAGGATTGCTCTACCCGATCATTAGTCGCCACTAGGAGCATCTGTCACGACAGCTTTTGGAGCTTGTCTAGCCAATAGTCGTCGATAAGAATCAGAAGTAGCCACCTGTTGGTGCATAGGTATAAGATTTCGCTGCCAATAAGGTACATCATGCACCCGGGACTCCTTACCGCGGTAAAAGTCAAATATCGCCCCAAGAGATTGAACCTATCGATGGCAGAATTTAGGTAAAACATATATCATTAATTCCACGATTTACAGACCTTTGGAATTAACCTCAGGCGGTAGACGCAGCTTCGAGAACCCACCGATTAATGTGATAAGAAGATCGTCCAGTGTCTGTGCGTGTGATGTAGTAGGCGCCCGCTGATAACAACGCGTGTAGAGTCTATTGTTTGACTTTATGGGAGATATTGCTGTTTCTTGGTGCGCTGTGCCGATAAGTCATATGAGGTGTCGGAGAATAAATAAAACACACCGTTTCTGCTGAGGAACTGACTCAAAATGAGTGATTTAAGGGTCATTATCCACCACTAGTGGGATCTGCGATGACACTGAGCTGTTCAAAAGCCCTCCTAGAGATCATCGATAGCGATTAGCGGTGGTCACCTGTTGCAGAATAAGTACACACTTTACTGTCAACACCGAGGACATCATACACCCTGGACTGGTTGGCCATCAACGCGTCACTCTCGGTGTAGCCGCTAAATGATTAATTTCATCGGATGTATGCGCGCACTAGAAATTTTTTTCATATGGGGGGACGCTGTGTCTAGTGCTTGTAGCGAGAATTCAGATGAGGAAGAGTCAAGGGAAATGATATAAAATACCGCTCACTGAGGGACATTGACTCGAAATGAGTAATATCAGGTTCAATATTCACCACTGGTGGATCTGCGATGATAGCTGTTCAAGGTCCACCCAGGAATTGTCGATAGCGATTAGCGGTAATCATCTGTCTCTGCCTAAGTATACAATTTCGCAGGCGATAAACCATACACTCTGGACTGGTCAGTCATTAGCCCCAGCGTGGTAAAGTCAAATAACAGACCTTAGACGCTGAGGTTGTGGGTGTAGCTTTAGGCGCTAAATGATTAATTTCATCAGAATGTGTGTACTTTCAAATCCCACGGATGTATACGCCTGTCGATAACAACGAGCAAGAATCTGATTTTTTGGTGCTGCGTTTAGTGCTGTAGCGAGACTTCAGATGTCAGATGAGGAAACGTCAAGGGAAATAATATTAAACCCCGCTCACCGATCCGGTAAAGTAGACAATAGGCGTACTTATTTGGAGATAACGAACCGTAGCTTCAACAGCAAGCAATTGGATACAGCGTCCTGTCCGAGTCGGCGTTTCAATGAACAATGAAGCTCATTGTTCGAAGCTTTCACCTTGGCAGTGTCCTTGACTCGCTGGTGTTAAAATGTTGCAGTATGACTTCGGGAAGGAATCCAGGACAATGGATGCGAGTAATGGCGATCCAATCCATCGCTTTCTGACGCTCCACGATGGAAAGAGCTAGCTGTATGCGTATTTCACAGCAACCTTAAGAGTTTGAGAACGCGGAAGTAAACCAGGCAAAGTAGGAAATCACGTACCATTAACCACTCGATGAATCACAACAAGTAAAAAGCTTCCAAGATGCGCTACGTTAAGTAGGATTTACCGTGGCGTGATGGCGGTGGTGGTGGTAGTGGATGTAAAAAAAGCAGGTGCGCCACCGATCAGTGGCTGTGGTCAGCCGGATAACTACTAAAATACCGACTTTCGACCGATTCGCAGGCTTTTTTAGGGTGCCATTCTCGATTAACCGACCCCTTGGGTAAGTTCCTCTGATATCCGAAGTCCAGCATAGATTCGGACAAAGTTCTTCCGCCACATGGGGATCCAGGATCCTATGCTTTGGTATCTACTACAACGAATAATTTGGAGGAGTGCCTCCTACTGCTAGCAGTGACATTGCAGATTCATGCATCCATCTATCGAATTGTTTCTTCGTGCACGTACTGCTGGACTTGAAAAAAAAATGGTTATCAAATGCTGCAGTACTAACCAGGATATCGCGCCCTGTCGGATTCGAACCGAGATCTTGAATTCAAGATTACATGTATGCCAAAGGCCATCACAGTATGGACAGACTACTGGATAAGATCCTTTTATAGAGACTCTTACCACAGAAGTGCTAAACAAAACATATCACATGGCTGTGTCTACTGTGCCCTCCCGGATTCGAACCGAGGTCATAAATTTGCGAATACCGTTATTACTTTTATGCCAAAGGGCCCTTAGATGTGCTCTTCGTACGGAAAGGGTCAAACCCGGACCAGACGCCCTGTGTGATCTCGTTCCTTCAAGGCTGCATGCAGTTCCTGTACGATATGCCATGTCGTAGTAGATTATGTTATCAATCTCTAACTTCCGAATCTCGAGCTCAACAAATAAGCTCGAGGACTGACTGGCCTCGACTTAAAACGACCTGAGTAAATGAATCGTTTCTGGCGCTCAAGGATGATGATCTAGAATGCGTCTGAGGAACATTGATATAGGTACCTGATACAACATCTACTGCGCGAGGTTACAGGAGAGCCAGATTGACACAATAGGCAGCGAGCAGCTGGTTCGACGGCTGTCAATCGAGTAGTGGGGACCAAGATGCAGCGTAAACCAGTAACAGAGCCAGTGGCACATCTTGTATTCACTACAAAGACTACCAAGTCTGTATTCTTGAACCTAGACCGACTGTTAGGCGCGCGGTACAGGGTACAGCAGTGCATAGCGGAACATTTCCAGCTGATATTGCCTGTACCGTTTAATATGCGTTCTAATTACAGCTTACATCTCCTAGCTTTGTCCTGCAATATATCAAAAATAACGTCTCCAACCTCGTCTGGGGCTTCCTGTACAACCTGGAATAGAATTGTTATCAGTGTCCCTAACAGCACCAATGACACGACCGCACATACCAAGTGCCCTGCCCCTGGGATACGCGTAACTGAAGCAAAAGTTCGGCCGCGCTGAAGGGTATCTTGCTTCTCGCGAGTACTTAGACACCATTGTCATCAGGAGACGAACAAAATAAAGTGGAATGAACGTACAAAAGGTCGTTCCGCTCGCCGTACACAAGGTGGATAGGTATAATCTTATGGGTTTTATCCAGCTCTGTTAAAGGTACCACCGAGTCTCCCGTGATAAAAGGCATCGCTTCGTGCCTAGGCGTGCACGCAAGATGTACGCCCTTCTTTGTAGGGTGAGGTGCAATTCCATATTCCTAAAACCTAGTCATCAGATCACTCTGCTACGAAACACGCGAAACGGACTCACGATATACACATCCAAAATTCGAGTATCCCAGAGACTCCACGGGGCACGTTTCTTCAGGTATGCTCGAGCTTCGTCCTTGGATACCCAGAAATCGCGACGCCTTGGGATCGTTTTGGATGCCAAGATGAATGTGGGGGAGTGGATGTTGGTTATGTCGGCGGGCCATACGGTGGGTTCGATGAGGATCATGGCGTGGAAAGGGATGTGGTCGCAGAAGGCTGTTGATAGCGCGCTGTAAGTTTGCATATTAGTATTGGTCGTGTTTAGTAGAAGGGTATGTACGCCGCTGAAGCACCAGCCGAGTGCCCTATTAAAACGAGTTTGTGGATATCCTCTCGAATTATCGGACGGAGGAGAGACTTATACACGTTGGCGCATGCTTCAGCATAATCCTGTATAGCTGAGCAACCATTAATTCGATGCCTGTTTCGAACTTTCAGCACCCTCACGGTAATTGAAATCTGGTGCCTCTATTATCTCCTCGTTCATTGCAGCAGACGCGCCGTGAGTCTGCGCATCGACTGCCCAGGCCTCCAGGATCCGAATCGACGAGGACAGCGCAAGAGCGAAAAGTCGCTGTATTGTGACTTCCCAGTGTTCTTTGTCTGCAGGATAGTAGTCAGTACTTGCAAGGCCTTATCCAGCACCAAGGCGATACGTACGAAATCCAGTCCCATGTGTGAATACTAAAATGTACCCAGGCTCGTCACCTGTCCCGCCGCCCCCCGGTCGATAACGCTTCACAGCAGCCTTGAGCCTCGTGCCGGACGAGGTTGTCTCGATAAAGTGGACATCTACCAACATCATAGTAGGCAAAATCTCCGATACAGCTGTTTAGAAACTGTGACCCACCTTTCCCAGCATATTAATTATCTGGTATTCGGTCGCCCGGACTTCGATCTGATACGAGTAGCACGGACAGTCTAACCTCAAACTGACCGTCTTTACGGTACTTGGAAAAAAATACAATGACAGTCGCCGCCAAGGGGACCGACAACATGCGTTGACCCAAAATGGAATGGCAGTTTGTTCGAGTCCGGTTGATCCCGATCCGTTGACAGGTTACTCTGATACTTTGATACAATGCTTGGCTTCTTGGTGATGCTGTTGATTCCTGAAGCTACTATCATTCACTCGGAACTTTCTATCATAAAAGCCAGAAAACCTACGGGCCAAGTCCTTCCAAAGTACCAAACGTTGCTATTATGCCTAGTAACCTGGGAGTAAAAACCTCAGGGATGGGTGCTCGTCGTACTAGCGTTTGTCTGACAACCAGGAAGTTATTGGTATCAGTTTGATCAGAGTTACAGGAGGAGGAAGGTATTTATTCTGGTTGAACGTCCCTGAGAAGGAAACTAACCAGAGTCCGTACTACACAAAGTGCTACGGTCAGGGCTAGTTGGTATCATCTAAGGTCCCATCGGGTGTGCAGTTCGGGACCGTGATGCGTTATTTAAAACCGCTGCATCAGTATCAAATGCCCTAGGTAGGTATAGGAGTTCATACACCTCGTTCCTAGGACATTTTTTGACATAAATATTTAATTGGTGCGCCATTCAGCCTGTGCTTATCCAGCGCAAGACTAACATGCTTTCTTTGTTCTATCAGAGCGATGATCCTCAAAGGTCGGCTTTTATTGTCGAATATTTTTTACGGGTACTTCTATTATGCATCGGTGAGTAGTAACCGAGTGTCTTACGAGTATCTGCTTTCTTATCCGATGAATTTTTCGCAGACTCTGTTCTCACTCTAGTAGTATACCGTGTTTTCGTTTACCCTCGCTGGATATCTCCTTTACGCGCATTTCCTGGGCCATCTCTCGGCGGGATTATCAAAGGCCAATTTCCGGCTATCATGAATGGCGAAGCTGGCATCTCACAATGCCAGTGGATCGCAGAATACGGTTCGATCGTGCGCGTCGTGGGTCCCATAGGCATTGAGAGACTGATCGTAGCAAGTCCAGAGGCCCTACACCGAATTCTCGTGACAAATTGGGCCGATTATCCGAGGGTACGTTCCTTGCACTCCAAAAATATCGCTAGCACATCCTCATTGTTGATGCTGCAGCCCAACTTCATGCAGTATACCCTAGGTGTTGTCGCGGGACATGGCTTGCTGAGCACGTCTGGCGACAATCACAGGCGTATGAAGAAATTGCTGCAACCAGCATTTTCGGCTCACAACGTATTGAAATGTGCGTGTTTCATATGTGTGAAATCCAGTCAATCCTCAAGTGACCAGCTGTCCACAGATGACGAGATGTTTTATGGCTCAATCGATCGGTGCGTTTACTCGCATCAAGTACGGAAATGATATTGATATATCGACAGCCTTGTTGCACTTCTTACTAACGAAGTCAATTTGGAGCGGCAGGGGAAGGAGATACTGATGTTGAGCTACTGTGCGTCTACCCAGTCAATCCGTTACCATCTAACGATTTTTTTAATAAAGTGAATAGAGTTGCTATGGATATAATTTGCAAAACAGCATTCGGATACGAATGCGGAGCCCTATCCGAACCCCCAAACACATCAAAGTTAATGGAGGCTTACGAGAGGATCAGTAAAGAACAAAATGGTATACCATTTAACAAACACGGAACGGCCCTGATCTGATGCTTTCTTCCAGGACGGAATGCGACAGCATTGAATGCATTCATGGTGATACCGGGCGCGGGTCCTCTATCTATATCCGACTGGCCTTACCGCTGTTGTCGTTTCCTCAAGAGGATACGTGTTTTCGGTGAGCTTCCCTGTCCTTATCTGTACCGAACAATCGTGTATGCAACTGTTTCAGAACCTGTGGTGGCGCTGTTCGAGTCAATGAATCTTATCAAATCAATTATATCGACGTTCCTGGATGACAAAATCGCTGAAGCGACGGATCAGGAAACGCATGCCCAGGAAGGGACTCCCTTGGATATGATGACTATTCTGCTCAAAGCGAGGAATGTGGAAGGGAAGAAGAATGCATGCCCAGTCGTAGTTGATAAGAAGGATATGCTGCATCATGTTGTCAGTGAAATTCCACCTTTGAGGAACAATGTTTAACTGCGTGGCGGCTACAGTTGACCTTTATCGCAGCTGGCCACGATACGAGCGCAAATGGCTTAGCTTGGGTTAGAAACTTTATTTCTTTCGGCTCGAAACCCAATTATGATTTACGTTTCAATTCTTCTCTAGGCTCTTTATCTTCTGGCTAAAAATCCTGACGTTCAAGAACAGCTCCGTGCAGAAGTTTCCCCCTTCTGCTCTCCTGACTGTGGTCGACCCGACATACGCAAAATCAAGCAGCTTCAATATCTGGATTGTGTTATGTATGTTTTCTCCTCCGTTTCGCAGGCTATTCGCTGATGTTAATGACATAAAGTAATGAATCTCTACGTCTGTTCCCCCCGATACCGATGACCTTCCGGAAGTCGACGAAAGATGATCACCTTGATGGGAAGTTTGTACCCAAGGGAACGTTGATCTACGTCCCAGTGAGTCTATTAATTCGGGAAACACTGATATCTCAGCTTATCAGTTGCCCTGCAGATTCGTGCCGTCGGCTGGCTGAAGAGCGTCTGGGGTGATGATGTCGCTGAGTATGTCGGACAGAATTCTGTTAACTCCGCGAAGTTAATGGTATTCACTTACAGATTTCGGCCGTCCCGCTGGCTAGATTTACCACCGGGATATCACCCTATATATTCCGCTTTCCTGCTGGGTCCTCAGTCTTGCATCGGGAAATTCATGGCTATACTAGAAATGAAGGCGATTTTGGCGTAACCGGCTTTTTCGTGTAACATGTGGCCCCTCGTGCTAATGTACGCTTTTTTGCAGATCCCTTATAGGGAATTTTGAGTTTGCTCTAGCTTATGAGGGACAGGTTGCGCAACCTACGGCAGCTGCTACTATGAGTAAGCTACTCCAAATGTTTTTAATCCTCACATTGATGTCAGTTTCTTCTAGAACCAAAGGATGGCATGCCGCTTCGCGTACGGCGCTTGAGCTCGCGTTGACGTGAGCAGCGCCGATCCTCCCAGTCTCTCATCTATTGAGGGTAACTCAGAAGGATAGCTCTTCATATTTTACTAGATTGCAACTAGAGTGTTCGCTAGATCCGCATGTTTACTGCTAGCGTACGGTTTCTCCTCGATATTCGCCCCATTTGTGCCAATAGATTGGTATTTAGATTATCATGAACGCGTGGGGTATGTTCGGCCCTCATACTGTAACGTAACTCTAATCACTTAAATTACGGGGGCTGAAAATCTTTGCACAGCCACGCTCTCCAAACGTTTCATGAAACCGCCACCATCTGATCGTTTATGTGAAGGTACCTGGGCTACACAACGGCAACGACGATTGTTTTTACCCTTAGTTGCAACGTCTAGCCGTGTTTCTGAAACGAAGTGGTGGCGGGACCGGTAAAACGCTTCAGACAACAATAGCTCTTACCCTAGCGACATCTAAAGATAAATAAAGCTAAAGGTACTATCATGATAGATATGCCGTACTCCTCACAAACCACTACCCCTGCTCGGACTTGAATTGACAGCGGAAATCAAACTGATACGATGAACAGCTGTAACGCGATAACAAGGATCTGTCCTTCGAATTCTCCCTCATCTTTGAGAGCTGTCCATCATGGCTTTCCCCTCGCTCTCCTTAGTCTTCCTTGTGCTTTCCGTCGTTTATGCGTTATACCACCGAATCACTCGCATTTCATTGCGCGATGTACCAGGTCCTACATCAACTTCGTTTCTCTACGGTATTTGTCTAGTGTCCTTCCTCAGAAACTGTCTAATCGTCTTTAGGTGCATTTCCTGAGCTTGTTTCTGGCCAAGCTGGAGAGGTGACTCTTTTCTTTCCCGGAACGGTATCAATAATCCTTGTTGACCTTGACTCCAGGCCGACTTCAAATGGCAAGAGACGTATGGAGATGTCATACGAGTCCGTGCTTCATTGGGTGTGAGTACCAGCATATCTAATTGAACATTTCCTGGCCTGACATCTTTCAATCTAGGAAGAGCGCCTTTTGATACTCGACCCAAAAGCCATCTATCATGTATACCAGGGCACCAAGTATCAGTACATCAAGCCTCCTGGCCGCGCTGAGCTAATTCGACCACTGATGCGAGATCCAGACAGTACGACGCAACCCCCTTCCTTCGGGACCTACTGATTAATTCTGCGATCACAGTTAATAATCACCCAAGGAACCGACGTGCTGTGGAACCGGCCTTTGCGGTGGGAGAGATCAAGTCATACCTGCCCATCTTCTTCTCATGCGCAGAGAAGGTATGTCCCTGTAGTTGACATCGTCTCTGTTCAGTGATCTAATGTTATATCTCAAGATGACATCGAAGTGGATGGACATGATATCCGCGGCCGGAGATCAGTCACTGATTGTGGATATAGCGTCCTGGGCATCCAAGGTCACGCTCGATATTGTCGGAGAAGGTAAGTTTTCATGCCGATGTTCCAATATTGGTCAATGAAGATTCTGCAGCGATCTTCGACTGTCATTTCGGCGTTTTGGATGAATCCAAGCATCCTTTGGCAGAAGCTTATGCGAATTTATTGTGAATCCTCTGAATCATGGAAAGTGCACTTGTCTAAAGAGCCTGTAGCTTTAACACCTTTTCTGCTCCCAACAGTGAGACAGCTCGTTCCATGAGCCTGTCGTTATGTCTCGTCGAGTGGCTGCCAAGATGGATAATAAGATTTATGGTCAACCACTCCCCTGCACGGCGGTTTTCATATATTCGAAACTCCGGCGCGGTAATCAGTGAGATTACCACACAGTTACTGAACGACAGAGCGAACGATCCCATTTCCTGCAAGCGGCAAAAGGATATTATGAGCCTATTGAGTCAGCTATTCCTCAGAGTCCCTGTCTCACAAATGTCTAAAATTGTTTGAACTAGTTAAAGCAAAGTCGTCGAGCGACCCCAAGACTCGTCTGAATGACGATGAAGTCCTGACACTCATGAAGTAAGTATCAGTTCTAGTCGATCGTTTTCTGTTTTACCCCGCCCTCATAGTGGTATGCTTTTCGCCGGCCACGAGACCAGTGGCACCACCATAAGCTGGCTTTTGTTGGAGCTCGCCAAGGCTCCTGCGATCCAGCAGAAACTTCGTGCAGAAATCAGGGCAAATCAGGCACTTCAAAGTCGCAATGACTTGGTACCTTCGGACCTTGATGCTATGCCGTATCTTAACGCAGTCCTGAAGGAGACACTACGGTTCCACCCCATCTCGTACAACAGTCCTAGAATCGCGTCGCGCGACGATGTACTCCCTTTGAGCAAACCTGTTGTGACGAGTTCCGGAAAGGTCCTACACGAGTTGCCCATACCTAAAGGAACATATATCATTTCGTCCATCGCTGGTTACAACAGGAACAAGGATGTTTTCGGGGCGGACGCGCATATGTTCAATCCTGAGAGGTGGCTGGATAGCGATTTCAAGCGTAATGTTAAAGTTTCATTGGGGATGTACGGTAATTTGTAGGCTCTGGTATTCTGGTTTGCGATAGGGATGCTCATCACGACGTATTCAGGTTCACGTTTATCGGCGGGCCTCAGTCATGTATGGGCTGGCGGTTCGCGTATGTTTGCTTTCTCCCCATACACCACCGTGTTTCTTCTCACGTCTCTGCAGTGTGTGCGAACTACAGGCTCTTATCGTGGAGATTATCGATAAATTTGAGTTTTTTTTGACAGAGGATTGGATTCAGATTCGGAGGGAATCGTGCAGAGTGATGGTACCCACACTCGAAGGAGAGGTGGAGAAGGGGGCTCAGTTGCCTTTGAGAGCGAGGATTGCCCCTCGATAATTTATCGTTCAAGTTATTGCCTTTTCACTTGGCTAGTTTTTGTGGCGGGCAATATTGCTTAGGGTTAGGGTTACAACAAACGTTCCGGCCTTGGAAAATCAAATTGTACTTCTTTCCACAACCATGGCCACGATTTGCGCGACTTTCTTATTCCTTGCATTCATCGCTTATACAGGCTCTACCTCTGTATTTGAAAATTTCCTGATGCCCATATCCGCGACAGCGTTGTGGAAAATACAAAGTTGGGACGACGTTCGATGATATCTGTGCTCTGAACGGAACCGATATCGCGCCCTGGTTCTTAGTACCTTCAGTCGCGCCAACACTGTTACTAGTGACCTTCCAAGAGTGTATCGCGAGTGTCCTGAACCATTACTGTGTACGATGATAACAGGAGTTACAGGACCCAGTATTTGTTGGATTTGTTGTTGACTTTCAGCTGGACTAGCAGTGCGTTGCAGTTTTCTTCATATTTGTTTATCTGACATCCTCGACTAGGCTGTCATAGCTGCCTATTGCTCTTGTCTATCCGATGCTCCTCGGTCTCCGGTCAGTTACAGAACTCCATCCGCGCGAACAAGATAACGTTCCCAGACTTACTCTCATCATCACTTCTTTCATGATATCGTACTGCTTGTGAGCGCTGCATATGATTGCCTTACTATCTGCAGGGGTCCTTATAATTAGGTGGACAGACCACCCGTGTGAAAACACTAGCTTTCTTATCTCGGGTATAGCGTCTATTTGCCCTTTCCTACTAACACCCACCATCTGGCAATGCCTGAGCGGACACCGTCAGAGATCTTTATTCCCAGCCCACATCCGGGTGAGCCTAGTTCAATCACTGGCATTTTGGAGCAACTAGGACCTGGAAAGCCGACGGATGGAAGGAAGCTCGCTCTGGTTCGTGACAAACCTCTAGTAACCTAGAAATTTCTAATTCTTTTGTAGATTCTCCATGGTTCTGCAGGGTATATAGTTTCTGCTCTTGTGATTGGGATATGACGTTTATCAAGGCATTGCTAGCCACAAGGATTACCTTTTCCTGAAGAGACTCGCTACTACTCTACCCATGGACACATTTCGCTTTGACTTCCGGTAAGTCGTGTTTAATCATTTCCATAGCTATACAGCTAAACTGATCTAGAGGGCACTTCGAATCACCTGGTATCTGGCGCCCAAATTCTTTAGAACAGGACGTTTTGGATCTCCGTGTCGTCACAGATTACCTTACAGCCTATTTCGGATATCGTATCGATTTAATAGTTGCCCACTCTCATGGTGCGATACTCGCCGTACACTGGTTGTGTACGACTGACGCAGGGGGCAATGTTTCGGGCTTCGTCAATGTGTCTGGTAGATACCGCATGCGAGTGGGTGCTCTTCCCCATCACGGAGAGGGAAATGTCAAGCTGAACATGTTCTTCGCAGGGTATCTACGGTGAGAGCATTCTCTTAAATCAGGGAATTTCGAACTTACAATAATCGACTCTATAGATTCTGATGAAACTAAAGCCTGGACTGAAGGCTTTGTCACCAAAGGGTATCATCTCTTGAACCTCAAAACCTTCAAGATCGAAAATCTACCCTGAAGACGTAGACAAATTCGCTAATTTTGACGGATCGCTGGTAGAAACCAGGTTTCCGAAAAGAACTGATGTTCTAACAATTCATGGGATGCATGACAAGACGGTGCCGGTGTATGTTACCTTTCCGATGAAAGGTCCTTCGCTTATCTTTATCAGGTATGACGCGGTGCTGTACGCGAAGACCCTGAGCAACCGGTCCCCGGGAACCCACTCCCTGCACCTCATGGAACATACGGATCACTATTGCAATGGGCGGCATGACGAGGTGATACAGACCATTTTGGGTTGGTGGGATGCCCGATTAAAAGGGAAGCTACAGTCGGGTGTCTGGAAGGGAACGTATGATTTAAGAGGCAAACTGTGAGGTCAATTATTGTCAATGGCAATGTGACTTCTGTTCGTTACCAGTGGTCCGATGTTTATGTTCTGATGTTTAAGTACAACGGATGTCTGCAGCCGTTCCGGCTTCTCCGCCGCAGCGTGATTATATCATGCACGTGACTGTGACATGTCGCGAGTGTAAATTTAAATTTTGAACCAGGGTCCGCCGCGGTGCCAGCGTATAGGACGTTGCTGGCTGAACTTTTTTTCCGGTCAGTGCCGCTTGGTTAAGTGCCGATTGAGTCTTGACAGTCGAAGGATGAACGATTGCTTGGTTGAAGGATTACGGAATGTGATTTAAATCGGTGCTGTATTTTGTAAAATACAAGAATGTGGAGGTAAAATACCAGTAACTAACCGGTAACTTACCGGTACGAAACCCTGCTGTATATTACATGTTGAGTTTGAAACCTGGCTTAACGCTGTTCATTCCCTCTACTTAAGACTGTAAGACTGTTGTAATGGTCGACTCTGCTGTATACAAGCTCGGGTAAACAATAGCAAATTACTATCAAAGACCCCGTCGACTCATCGCTGAACACTTATTTCAGTAGTAGGTTTTATCGTGTGACCCTCCTTGCCCGGCATTGGGCATTTCACCGCCGGTCGGCAGTCGGCATCATGTTGACACATGTTTGCCCATCACCGGTTTCGGCAACGAAATCGTCAGGACGAGGTGACCTTGCTTTCCAGCAAGGTAACCAGGCGGCAAGAGAAGGCTCTTAACAGCCACCATCCGATTCTCACCACCTCAAAAAGAGCCTGTCATGGCTCAGCGAAACTTGGATGAAGAGTATGTCGTTGAGCTCATTATGATACGTCTACTAAACGGTTAGCTAGTGCATCAACCGACAGTGGAGCAACCCTACTTCTCTGTTCCCAGTGTAACAACACATTGTTAGCTCCTGCCTACGATTTTTCACCTCGCATATGGAACAATATCCGTACCCATGCCAACCCTGACACTGCAGAAAGGAGTCAAATTGCTCAGAAAATACTCTCTGCAGAATGCGACCTCGCACACTACCGAGTGGAGCTCGCTCGGCTACGTGGCATCGTGTCAAAGTTGGAAAAGCAGGAAGAGAAAGTCAGAGAATATATCTCTGGGTACCGCAGTTACCTCAACTCTGCCGTTCGACGATTCCCCACCGAAATTCTTCTTCTCATCTTTAGCGAAGTGGTGTCTTCGATACCTGATCCCAATTTCACGACAACTCTTCACATCTCTCTCGTCTGTTTCCGGTGGCGAAACATAGCACTTTCAGCGCCGTCTCTATGGCGAAACATATATGTGGGGAAGGGTTGTCCTCCTGATATCAATAAAACGTTGGTGCAGCTGTATATCAAGCGCTCTATGAACGAACCGTTGCGCATCGCTGCGAACGTAATGGACAAAGCCTATGCCTATTGCTATGCCCCTGCTCTGTCGGCCCTCTATGCTTCGTCGGATCGCTGGGAGGAGGCAAATTTGAAGCTGTTACAACCAGCGGTGCCCTCTCTTAATTCGAACGTAATAAACAAAGTTCCAATGTTGCAGACCCTCACTCTGGAGATGTATGGAATTGACTCTGGGGAAAGGTGCACAGCGTTCTCCCATGCTCCCCAATTACGGACCGTCGCTCTCACAGGTGTATGGGCCCGGGAAGTTGAACTTCCATGGTCACAGCTAGAAGCGGTCGAGTTTGGCGGAAATTACCTCAAACATCCTTTTGATTGGACAATAATGGCTGGCACCAGCGCTTCGGGCAATCCGATCCGTATTAAACACTTCGCTGTCCCATATAGAATCTTATGGTCAACAGGAACGCTCAGGTCAATATACCTGACATCGGTGCACCTAGGCATATCGCGGGGTACCTCTTCCATATCCGGCGCCATACTTCCCTCCTTGGTCGCTCTGAAGGTTCAGATACACGACCCAATCGGGGACATAGAGTGGGGAAACAGCCTTGTTTATTTCCTTCGTCGATCGAAGTGTCAGCTTGAATGTTTCGAGTTGGTCGTGTCCAGGGGGTCTATAGTGGAGCCAAGCGAGCTCCTACTTGTTCTTCAAGCCACTTCGTCTCTCCAGTCACTCAAGATCTCTGAAGCAGATTTTTTTCCGACACCGCTGATCACGAACGAGGTCTTACGCAGCCTGTCCTCGGTGTCAATGCTACCAAACCTGACCTCTCTGCAGTTCGTTTGGACACGAGAGCATAGCGGTTGGTCGGACGCATTGATCGCCCTCTTGCGTTCAAGAGTATCGGTCTCGAACAATGCGAAGTCGCTGAAAGCGGTTACCTTGGGCATCAGGCATGGCAAAGAGATGCCTCCAGACGTTGTGGTGTACATGAAGGAGCTGAGAGCCTTTGGCGTTATCGCGTCACTCTGGTAGACTGCTCGGCTTTGGGAGCTAGTTGCAGTCTTCCTTGTCTTTAGAGACGCTTGGTAGATCATCAAGCTTTTGACCTTGGTGATCTTCGGCAGGTTCTCGGTGTGTTTGGTACGGGCTTGGGCTTTCAAACTACTCTAAGACTACTTGCGAGTGTATCATATCCAATGCCCATGTTGTTTGTCATTGACTCGAAAGGAAAAACCTAATACGCGTCTGTGCCTTGTCGCGTAACTCTAATGGAGAATGACGCAAGTTCTATTCGTGAATCGTGGCATCGTTATCGAATTATCATAATCTATTATATTATGGTTTTTCGTATGTCTGCTTTTGCTTCCGCTGAAAAGCCATGGAATCCGCTTCGACACATGCCACAAGCTTTGCGGAGTGAGCTGCTTCGACCTAAATTTCGTCCTCAGCCCTGACAGCAGCACGGCCCATTTTATCTCTATAAAAAAGTACATCGCCTGTTTGTGAAGCATGATTAGAATCGAAAAATCGGTTCCGGTTTATCGCGTACCTTCATCTTCAACAAACTGGCAGTCATTATAACTTCTCCATAGTGCCTGAAATACGGGTTCGTCCGACCAACGATAGTGCGGTCCTAAGAATGCTTTGAGATGTTGTGTAGCTGCCGGTGCATGGTAGAAGGGCATTTTTGGAAAGAACTATTGATGTCAGAGGTGTTAGGAGGGATTAATACAGAACAGAAGAATAACACGTACGTGATGTACGACATGATAGTGCGCGACGTCGTGTAGGAACCATCGTCCCATCCACCCGAGGAAGGGTCGATCGACGGTGGCTGCGGCACCACGAGCAAAGGTCCATTTCGGAGCACGATAGTGCGGCAGAGTGGGATCAGTATGGTGGAGATAAGTTATCATAACAACTAGAAGAAACAATTAATAGCTAAAAATGCAAATTTAGAGAAGAGCGCGTACACCAATGACTGACTTCGAACCACGGTATACCGTAGAGCGCCATGACATTCCACCATCCCCACTGACGCACGGCTGCAGTGAAAAGAACAATCATAGTCCCAATACCAATGTTGGACAGAATAACAGCGTTCCGTTGATCCGGCGTAAAGAGTATAGAGGAGGGTGAAAAATGATTAGTGTTCGGAGGATAGTTTGGTTGACCCGATACGTTAAACACTGGGAATACAAAATCAGCGATGTACAATACGTACGAAAATACCCGATCACTTACTCAGATAAGCCGGAAACGCGAGAAGTTGTTGCCGGATCAGCATCATTAGTGTCCAGATAGGTGTGTCGCCGAAATAGTCCTCCCAATCAATACTGTGTTCTTCCTCTGCCTCTTTGGAAGGAATCCCTAAAATTGAACGCGTTTTGGGAACATAAACCTCATCGCGTTCCATACTGGCATGGGTCATGTGATGTCTATGATGGCCAATCTTCCAACTGAAGTAGGGAGTCCAGAGGAAGCTGTGAAGGACGAAGCCAAGACTGTCATTCAGCCATGTGTAAGGGCTGAACGCCCCGTGACCACATTCGTGTCCAAGCACCCATATTCCGGTAAGTGTAAGACCTTGGAACCACCAATATCCCATCCATGCACCCGCACGAAGAAGGGGGGTGTAAACATGGAATGGGTATGATAACTGAATGGAGGGGATGTAAAGAGCAAGGATGAAGAAGAATGTTGCCATGAAAATGTCGCGTGCGAGAGTTGTTAGAGCGCGAGAAGTCGATAGAACGAAGTATTTAGATGGGATTGCTGCACGTATTTGCGATATGGTATATGGAAGGGGAGTGAAGACCGGCAGCTCTGCCTTGACATGCTGGGAATCAAGCTTTGACTTTACTGGCATAGCAGAAACCATATCGAAAGGAGGGAACACAGTCGAAAGGAGGGAATGTGTTCATGTCACTCCGAAGACGAACTCTTTTTATTCAGGGATGTCGTGAGACATATGGGGAATTGAGATCTCCTTGGTCAGATCGCAAGTAAAATCCTCCGAGGGAATTAGAAAGAAATTGATCCAGTTTGAACAGCCTGATGGGCGGGAAGAATTATTTCAAAGCTAGCGGTAGCTGGGGTCCCCGGCTTGATCGGTTAGACGTCCTCCGTTATCTTATCAAATTTTGCTCACTCTGATGTCCATAGCACACTATTGCGAGCGTTTTCTCAAAATCACCGACTGCCCGCCTAAAGTCTATTCAGTTGCGCCCGCAAAGAGTCCGGGAGAAAGCTTTGTGCCCGGAGAATATGACTTGATATGACTTGAAGTGAACGCTTTAACGTCATGGAATCACTGGAGGTGCGCAGAATAGAACAAGTATCGGAAGGATAGTGATCCTGAAGAGGTCCTACGTGGGCGGGCCGGTCTATTCGGTCACTCTTCGCCTTCGATGAAAGGGCATTTCTACCCACTCTGTGAGTCGTTCTTGACCATCATCGGTAGTCATATATTCCCGACTCGGTTCATGAGGTCGAACTTCACCTATTCAGAGTCGAAGATGCGATGAGCCACAAAAATAATATCGACAACGTACACTTATGGTGGCGCCGATTTTTAATGTGTCGCCACACAATATAACGAGGCCGCCAGTAAATGAATTATCTGATGAATTATTAGCGAGAAGGAACAACGCAATGATGAATGAAGCAACTAAATACCTCGCCTCCAGAAGTATTCATTGCATCTTGGAAAACGCTAAAACCATGCCTAGGCGAGCCTGGCTTGTATTAACTCTCCTGAATCCAAGGGCCGCTCAAAAGGACCGACACTTTCAGGGCCTTCTTCAAGCCTGTGCAAAGAGCTAAGCATTGAATCACAGAAATGAGACTAGTCGTATCACCCGACGTACGTCTCAGGGACTAGAAATTAGTGGCGCTGACGTTGTGTATGCAATACCCAGTAAAACATATTAAGTTTTTTGCTCGGAGGATCTACAGAAAGGTTATTGAATGGCTCCACATTGTATATCCGAATCAGGTTTACTACCGAATAAATACGGCGGGACGCCTGGAGCGGAAACACACGGGTGACAACGGCTGTTCGCGATCTCGACCTAGTAACCAGACTAAAACGATCGGGCTCCGAAGACTAGTGGAGCTAACACAGCACTGGAATGAAAGGCTGGCCGGAGATCGTGAGGTCCTGGGCACGCGTCATCCTACTTAATCTGAAGGAGAGTCAATATCATTGTGGTGTATCCTTAACGTTAATACCTTCAGTTTTTCACCGCCACAAACGTCCGTATTGGCAGGAGACTTCCGTCAGTTAGGCGCGCGAAGGAAGAATCCGTAACGATGATCTCCCAAACAATATTGTGACGGAATTGGTTGTTCGTTTAAACTTAGTCTTGTACACGGATAGTATCGGCCATCGAAGTCGAAGATCTGTGGATCGAAGAAATCCTGAACGTGATATATTCCGTTCTATGGCGAATGATTCTGGATTTATAAACCACTAGAGGAAGTGAAACGAGGAGTGATGGTGAAGAGCGGGGTGTATAAAATGTTGATCATTAGTCTGTTTGAGGTGAAATGGTAGCTTTTTATGCTGCTATCAAAATCAATGTGGAACGTTGCCCCTACGCTAAAGGCTAAAACGTCGTGGTTACCGCACAGGTTCCAAGGCGGTACAATTAGGGACATTACGACTTGTCATTGCCTGACATGTATGCCATCGATCAAAGTCGCGGGAATGAGCCGCGGGGACCTTTCGCACTGATTTAAATCAGGGAATGCGTTCCTAAAAGCTTTTTGAGCGACAGATTAAATAAGTACGTAAAAACGTTCGAGCGACACGAGACCTTGAAATAATTAAGGACGACAACTCACGAGGAGTTCGGGGCGTATGACAATGGCCAGGTCCATTCAACTCAATGCATGACGTCGAGGTCCCAGGCAAACATCTGGATTTCGACCACATGCGCGTTCGTAAAATGGAAACTTGCTTTGAGTGTCACGGAGTGAATCGGCGAGCCAATATAAACGCTTGACTGGTATGTTCGCAATCTCCAAATGGACCCGAGCCACCGAGTCAGCCGATTACACTAGGCGATAAGATGCTGAACCAACGACCGCAGTTTCTCCTTCTCGTTATACATTTAATTATCTCCATCACTGACGCGATCAACTTGCGGTTCCGTTCCGACACGGAAAGGCTTGTCAGTATGTATCATGGGCGCTTTTCTATCCATTCACCTTCCGCGGTGCGTATATTCCGATTAAGTGGTAAGCAATAGACGCTGACAACGAACATACCGGTCCGAGCATCTACCGTCTCTGCGAGATCCTCTCGTACCTTTCTAAAAATACTGGTGCATTGGAACTTTATCAAGATTCTGGAAAATGCATTTGATGGCCTGTTTCGCTCCCATGACCATGCTGGTTGTCCAAAATAGAGAGATCAAGGATCAAGATGGAGCTTTGAAGAGCTTCGCAGGACTGAATATGTTGCCACGGCAGGAAAACAAGGTGTTGTAGATGCAAACGCTGAGAAAGTCTTCGAATTCAGCGACACGCGGGATTGGCGTTGTTGGAAGTCGAAGACAGAGATACGAAGCGAAATGATGACGCATGTATTTCGGCTCGTTTCGGCCCGATCGTTCCGCTTCCGCCCGCTGGTGTCTTTCCTCCACAACCACCATCCTGAAACGGGCGCGGTCAGTCCTCGCAACATACCAGGCGCCATTCATCTTAGGACTTCCACGAAACACAAAATGTCAGTCAGGTCTCCTCGGACTTTGGTGCCAACACGGTTTTTTCGGCTCCCGCGAACCCTTTCCTCAGGTTTTGGGGTGGTGGTTTCATACAGGCCAGCGAGCGTCGATATTCTACGGAAATCATTCTCCGACTCAGAATTCTGGGACAAAAAAAGCCCTTATCCGATAACTTGGCACATATACAAGATGGTAAAGCTAATCCCTAATCTTGACCATCAAAACGCGCGTACCAAGCCCTGTCATTGTCCAGCCGCCTGCAGGCCGGAAACAGCGTGTCGAAGACCCGTAAATTTCTTGGAGTATTGTCTTTCTAGCTTCTATCATCGGTTCACTCCATAAACCGTGATGACGCTTGAGATGGTAGCGGTAGTCATCTTATGATCTCTGCTCTCGTCCCGAGGCTAGTAGTCGTCGGATCTCCTCCAGCCTTAATGCTCTTGTATCATTATGTGTTGATCACAACGCATATAGGTATGTTTAATACCATGATTGTTCATTTTAACCTTTGCATTCACCTCGATCCCACATCCGCGAAAATTCCGAACGCAGAAGTATCCAACTATAGACTGCTCGTTCGATACTTCTTTCCCGGAGTCTCCTATTACACCCCCCAAAAAAAGATCTTCTATTACTTTGTATAGCGCTAAGCTCAAAGGGGGAACCAGCCCTGACAGGCCTGGTATTCTAGCAATGAAACCATGGGCTTCTGGCCTGGGGTCTTACTTTGACATTCTATCGTGCACATTGTCGATGTCAGCTGAGTTCTTCTCGAGGTATTGACTCTTGACCATGCATAGTTAATCCTAAGGGTCGACTCTCCCGCAACAGACAGAATTCTGATTCCTTGCGAACATTGTGCCGGCGCCTCGAGGCATCGTGTGAGCCCTGATGGATATCAACGGACACCTTTTCCGGTATCGGAACCGCGTGAGGTGATTTCTTATCACTGTCGGGGGTCTATGCCTATTGATTCATAAATTTCTGTAGCACGTGGATAGCAGGCGTCATCGCAGTTACTTATTCATATCTTTCGTTTTCTTCTTCTGATCGTCGAGAACATCTGCCATGCTAAAAGCTAACTTGCCTTGGACATTAGCTTCGCAGGGCAACCGTATGAATGACATGACGGTATGTCATCTGTATCATGTTAAGAAATAATCACTGATTTTGGGCTTTCAATCACAGTGTTCCGCGCGATACGTCTATCTGATGACTTTCAGTGTCACATCATGTTGATCTCAGAATGATCCAACAAAGGAAGCTCACCTCATTCGATGACCTTCGCGACCTTCTTCACTTGCATTGTGAGACGATATTCTACGTTCCAGCACGATCACGTTATTCTATACGCGAGTTGAGCTGCGGGAGGGGTTCCTGGGGCTGTCCAGCGGCTCCTGATCATGATCGATATGATCACTGCTCGATCAACAGCTCCTCTTTTCCGCTCGCTATGAGAGCGAGCAACAAATGATGCTTCGAAGGGTCGACGGGCTGTGCGAATCATCTTCCTCCTGATGTTGTGATGCTACATAGAGGCATCTCATGTGAATAGGTAGGTATCGAGTCCGACGCCGTCTCGTTCCATTTTGGAACGCGTTCGGACGAACATTTCCGATAAACTCAGGTATTTATTATTATTATTGATTATGCAGCTTTCTCTTTTATGTCCCACGTACCAGATAAGTGTCTGAAGCGGAATACGTCGAGTTCACCGACGACTAATAAAATCTCCTTCCTTCTTTCCGCTTAGTGTTCCCCACGCTGCCTCGCAGACAAGCCTCTGTTTCTGATCGTGATCGGGTCGATCGGTGACTGGGGGGTTTACAGTATGCGGCCGTTTTTACCTTACAAGAGCAGAGGCGCGACATCAAGTGAGTCAAATTGAAACGTTCCTGTTATAAGCAGGCACGTATGCGTTTCATTTGGACATTGCAAGTGGCAATTGAGCCGCTTGAGCAGGCGGCAGTTGTGGTTGAAATTCAAACACGAAGATTCCTCCTACGATCACCAATCATGAATGATTCGTGGTATGGGGGACTGCAAACATGTGCTTGCAGTGCGTTGTCAGCACTGTACTCGCCGATCTTATCACATGAAATTGCAGATTAATCGAAAGATTCGCAAAGATTCGAATTACTAAAATCTTTCCTTTTTCGTGGATGCGGGGAACTGCAACACACACTACAATTCGTTCATGTTCTATTCATAGCCTCAAACTGATAGTCTGGTCACAGTAATTAAACTTCGAAACATCGCTGCCTTGTGCTCAGAGGGATGGTGATATCGAGATTCGACGGCCTTCATTCAAATATATAATTGTAGGAGAACAAGCGAGTAGTACCGAATTTCTCGTGTGGATGCCATCCCCCCAGAACCAGATTGATCAACGGTCGGAAGTAACGATATGGACGAAGCTCTGATGTTTTCATCGGGTAATCATTCGACGCAACCCACGTTTTGAGTGCTTCTATATCTGCCTCAAGGCGAGTTGTTGCCTTCTTATGCTCTTTGTCCTTAAAACCCGAGCTCATCCAATTCCGGGTCGAAGTTCGAACTGGCCGGCGAATGGCGCTCCAATGACAGTCCTTCACTATACTTCAACATTCAATGGTAGTCAAGCTTCACACGATTCGATTCTTTCAAGGGGCCAGACCTCACCGGATTCCCCCGTATCCCTGAAAGCGAAAGGAAGAATGTATGTTCTGGTCTAGGTGGTCTCCTGAAGGGCTTGAAGGACAACGGTGGATGTACTGTCGCGGAAACAGGTACAAAATCAACTCTGTGCGGGCAGCTTCTACCGTGCAGAGAATATGATACCTGAATCATGGTGAGTAGGCAGCAATCCGGAGTTGATTTCATTTGCTTTGCACAAAGTTCTCAGTCTGTCCGTCACTCAAAAGATGTCCGAGTTGAACAAGATACCCGGACTTCGAACGGTCAACTAGTATGTTCGTACCTTTTCCTTATTGGACATACTGAGCTCCAATATGAACAGTTCCGGGAAATTGCATACCAGGGCGTACTTCAATCCATGACTCAATGATTCTCGTACCTCAATTTCTATAGTTCACACTTTCTTGGTGACTTGCGAGGACGGGCTACGAAGAGCGCCGCGGGAGTAAGTCCTATAGTGTGATGAAACACACCATATCCGATCATTTGAATTCCCCTTTCACTTGCCAGGACGTCTCTGAAGCGAATCACTTTGTAGACCATGAATGGGACTTCTCTTCGCTCGCTCGCCAAGCCGAATCCTTTGGACAGAACAACATACCATGTAAGTGCTACGTCACCGTTGATGGAATTATAAGACGCTTCGTCAACCGGCGGTGATTTGAGTGGTCGTATAGACCGCCGCCGCCACTGTGAATGCTGATGCGATAAAGATAACTTATGAATCAAAGCACAGGTTTTGAGTAAGTGGCATCACTTGTTGAACATCAAGAGAGAGAACAAGACGGTCAGTTACTCAGACATACCGGAAGAGACGATTCGGATTATCGCGGGGCCGGCTTGGCGTGAATAAGCATGATACGGCATTTTAGAGATCTACATATAGATTGGGCGAAACGCACAGCAATGTGTGTCCGGGGTCTTCCGTGGCGCGCGGAATGCCTTTTGGGGAACTAACCATCTGGAGTACGATCACTTTCATCGCTTAGCTTCCGACCACCACTATCCGTTAATGGATTTAAATACTGCACCAACTATGGGCTCCCCTCTCTGTCGTCTTCGTTCGATATGTTTTCTGACAGCCCGGAATATCTTCGACGTGCTAATACCCCCTTTGTCCCACCAAAGATAACCATAGCCGAACTACATGCTGCTATCCCACACCACCTCTTCCGAAAATCGACGACAAAAGGATTGGCCTACGTTCTACAGGACGTTTTTTGTGCATATCTTTTATATCGCTTGACGCCATACATCCCTCTTACTCCTGCTGTCCTCCGTTTCCCCCTCTGGGGAGCGTACTGGTGGTGCCAAGGAATCGTGCTCGCTGGTTGGTGGTGTCTCGCACATGAGGCAGGGCACGGTACCATATCACAGTACTCGTGGGTAAACCATGTCGTTGGCTATATCCTTCACACCGCCATATTAGCACCTTACTATGCCTGGAGGGAGACACATCGGAAGCACCACAAGGCCACCATGAGCGTCGAACGGGATGAGAACTTCGTTCCACGAACGCGTTCGGAGTACGGCCTTTGGGATGAAAGAGAGGACGAGAGGCTGGGTCTGCTGAGCGATGACGAGGGGCTTCCCGGACGCCGGAAAGGCTTGGATCCGCACGACGTGTTTGAAGACGCGCCGCTGTACGTCCTCTCGCGCATGCTCATCATGCAGGCCATTGGATGGCAATTATATCTCTTGACCGATGTGATGGGAAACCCGCGATATCCCCAGGGAACGAATGTCAGTCCAGTATTAATTCTTTTTTTAATCGTTCTGACGCCGCATGCAGCATTTCTCACCGTCTTCGGCTCTCTTTAAACCACATCACCGGCGACAAATCATCACTTCCAACATCGGGTTGTGCATCGTCCTTGCTCTCCTTTTGTGGTGGGCTAGTCAGACTAGCATAGCTCATGTAGGGCGGGTGTATGGCGTTCCATACATCCTTGCCAATCATTGGATCGTCATGCTCACTTACCTCCACCACTCCGACCCAACAATGCCGCATTATCGTTCTCAGACATGGACCTTTGTACGTGGTGCTCTCGCTACCGTTGATCGACCACTTCTCGGATGGGTAGGAAGGGTGTTTTTGCACAATGTCAGCCATGACCATGTATGTTTGACTCCTTCTCATACCTTTTCTATCCCTGAACATTATTCGCAGGTCGCACATCATCTTTTCTCTTCGATACCGTTCTACAACCAGCCAGAAGTGACGAAAATTATTCGACCACTGCTGGGAGATGTGTATAATTACGATACTACTGTGAGTCCACTTTGTTTTTTTGTCGTAAAGTCACTGCTAAACCTGTCATAGAACTCATTTCGAGCACTCTATCGCACGTTCACACAGTGTTGCTTCATTGAGGATGATGGCGACATTGTGTTTTACAAAAATCGAGATGGAAAGGCAGCGAGGGTTTTGGCCGGCGAAGAAGTCCGGCCTTCGAAAGTCATCGTATAAGGACGATGCGCTCATCCGCTATCGATTTGTTTAATAATCTATGAAATTCACTATACCATGTCCTATTATTGACGTTAATCCATCTCTTTCTCGATATCTAATCGCAGTACTCTGTAATTTCCAAGATCCGAGCTTGGTCTATAATTATTTAACATTAGCAGTGGCATTCTAGGATTCTAAAAAGATCTCGGTGTTTCGACTGCAGACAAGATTCTAATTTGCCGCAGCCCCTATGACATCTTCGAACTGAGCAAGTGAACTCTTAAAAAATGGTCAGCATGTAAGGGCTGTACGATCCCTCAAAGCTTCAGAAGATTCAATCAGGAGACTACAGCGGGACTGCAAAGGGTGGTCACACAAAGGTCAGAAGTTGAATGATCGCGGCTGTGCCGAATACGACGACATACTCTCCACCCTTCCAGAGAATCCGAGAGACCGCCGAATCTTGCCGAGAAGCCGGAATGTCGATCGGCACAGATTCAATCTTCAGTGACTGTACGGTCCCAGCTTTACCACACGTGCATTGATATGTACGAAGGTTAAAGGGGCGTTAACGGCTTGCTCATGGCTAACAGTTCTCATCTCAATTCATACCTAGTATCGTTGCGCGCAGTACTACTTAGTAGCCTGTACGTAGCTAACTAGGCCCGCTGCCGTCGGCACGAATACTTATTGGGTCTTCCTTCCCGTGAGCATATGCACATCCATCTGTTTTTCCCCTCGTTCTGTATACAAAACTCTTGTACTGTCCCATCTCTCGCCAAATTCATGCAGTACAAGTACAGCTAAACTCCAGCGAGACAGTAGTAAGATAAGGAGGCCCCTGCCCAGTGCCGAAATGCCTAGATCATGGCCGCCCGATGCGGCAAGGCACGCCTTCCCGTCAATTCGTCTCTTCCAGTCGATCGAACGTTCTTCGAAGCTTGAAGGGATCTGGGAGTTCCAGGCGGGTCTGGATGTTTAGGTGTTCCGTTCGATTCCGACTCGGAGATCGCTCCCGTTGCCTACTTTAAAGTTATAGCAGACTGGAAGAATTTGGGAAGAGACAGTCGTCGCAAAATCTACGAACGTGCAGTGAACGTGAGCTGTGCCCTCACGGATTGGAATCGAAGCTTGAGATGATACCCATTAAACTTTAACGTCCAATAAGGGATAAAATACTGCAGGTGCTGCGGACACCGGCTAGAGCCAGTTCATTTTAGGACGGAAAAAGGTATTCTGATTTCTGAAGGTGTCGTGACCTTTCTTCGTGCAACCTTCATGTTCCGCAAAGATAAGATAGATAAAACATAATGAAAAGCCCGTTTTATCTGACGCCCATTTCGCATATCAAAAAGGTTTTCTGGAACTTAAAAGTGATCTCCTTTGTTTGGACAGCAGGAGCAGCTTTCCCACTCCTTAACAAAGCCTGAGGGCGGAAATGATCTCATCTATCAACATCGTTTTTTTTTTGAACTGATTTTTGGGAGTAGAAGATCAAAGGGAATGTCATAACATTTTGAAGTCTTGTTTTTATGATGGGAAAGTGTATGGGCCTCACAGTGAACTGACGGAGGCTCTTGAGTCCCAATATTTGGCATTTTGTGGGCGAGGGAAGTTCCGCTGGACCAGACTGAAGAAAAGAGCTAAACGAATATGATGTACTTGAAAGTTTGAACTTTGAGTACATTTATACTTTCTACTCTTCAGTCTCCTCCGTGATGTCTGTATAGAATTATATAAAGTTATGAACCAAACTTTCATCCACCCTCTCCGAACCGATATCATAAATGACTCAATCGCTATTACGATTGTACCAAGGGACTTTTAATCCAACAGGGGAAACCATATTATAAAACTTGGGATCACTTGACATCATAGGAAATGCACTGGCTCGTCTCAAGCATGGAAAATCGTTAAGCCTCTACCGCCCTCTGTCTGTCTATTACAGCACAAACTTGATCCTACTTGGTCCTGTCAGGACAACTTCAAATACAATTAGTATGTCATAATGGTCCTTGCGAGGTCGTGTGGGAGGCTAGATGTCTATGAAAGGTTCCATTTCCTTACCTTCTGGAGTGGCTTGTTCAGAAATCAATGAGGTCAGCTACCGGGCGCGGGCGGAGGTCGTCGCATGATGTTGCCGAGTTGCCGAACAGCGGAGACCGTTCGCCACCAGACGCATCAAGCCGAAGTATCCCAATCGGGAAGTGGGCACCTTTTCTCATGCTTTACTGACTCAAAGTCCTTTGTGCACCTAATAACGCGTAACAATTTAGTCTCGATTCCGGTACGAATTCTCTCTGACGCTCGTTACTGCTCCTATATTCAGGTAGCCATGGTCAGGGAAACGTCGCTTCTTGCCAGGGACGAACGCCAAGCTGGGCAATGGGAGGTATACAGCCAGCTATCTGCCGGAGATACTATGTTGAAACAGAGTGTATGAGGTGGATTACTGTTTGACTGACCAAGCGTCACGGCAAATCAGATACAGTCTGGTGCAGTACTGCTTGGGGTTTATAGCGTTTGTTGGAATTTTACTGGAGCCTATAGGCACGGTCAGGAAAGCGTGCGTACCTATACCTGGGTATGCTGTGGCTACGTACGGCGCTACATCTACTTTCTCCGAGATAATATCTTGTAATGCGGTTACCCATTTGCAGCATCACCGTACAATGTTCGGTTACGTCCTCCGCCCCGCTCTTTTAACATACTTGGATATGATTCGAGACCGGGACCATCCTACAATTTCCTAATAGGTCTCAGCTTTCGGTCCGCAAAAACTAGTGCCGATCTCTTGATAACCCCAAGCGCGACTGCATGAGAGGTTCGTTTCCTTTCTGTTCACTTCCCATTTCTTACCTTCCTCATAACTAGCATTTTATGTTAACAGAGGCCTCAATATTCGAGCTACGTACCATTTCTAAGTAGGTCTTTTTGTCTGATGCGACAGACTATTCACTATATGTTACAGTATCATGGTGCATACAACGCCACACATACCACCATTTCTTCGGACCCGTATCCTGCCAGTGCCCAGGGAAACAATTCGAAGAGTATAACTGCCTGGCTTTTGCCAACCAGCATCACCTAATGACCATATCCAATCCAGATGCTCAAGTGTGACGATTTCACTGGAAAGAAGGCCATCTAACGGAACCTTCTGCACCGTGTATCATCGTCCCTTGATCGCCAGGTCCCCGTTTCGAAGAATGGAACCGCTGGATACATCAGTACGCGGTCGATTTAAGGTCCGACAAAAGGCACTTACCACGCGATTTTAACCCTGGATTTCCATTAAGTAAGTAACTGAGTCCGTTCTTCAGAGCTTCTTTTAGTCGCTTGGTCGATTGGGGTGGGCGGTGCTTCCAATATTCGCCCATGTCTTGTCGGAAATAATTGCTAGTTATTTATTATCGAAGGACGGGTCCAATTCTGACTGATTTTATGTTATTCACTGAAACTAAACGAATTCTTCCAGTTTGTTGAGAGATCCAACCAATTCCCCGCGACAGCGACAAGTGCGGACTTTGACGTAGGGTCCGGGCGTGGAGCTGCATGGCTGACACCCTGACGACTTGCCGCCTTCGAAGTCTTACTCATTTCTGGGAGGTTACGGCTTTTGGTCGGCCCTCCATAAGGGACAGTGTGCAGTTTCCTCCGTCTCGCTAACACGACTGTCCGACTGTGGGTCACCGCCCAAAGAATACATTCAATGGTCGCTTCTCTTGGAGCGCGGATCTCCTTCCGCGGGCCCTTGAAAAGAGTCAATCTCGCGTGCGCTTGGAGATCGGTCCCACAGATAATCTCGGAAACCATACGCGTTAATCATGGTGTGGGAGGATTTCTTAAAAGGCAGGAGACCTGTCTAGTCTTCTTGCATTCTCTCTACTCACCGCACTCTCAACTTCTATCGATCAGGATGCCTACGGCCAACGTCAAGTCGAGCACGAGAAAGATTGCATTTAACTACATAATATCAACACCCTCATCTTCATCAGCCAAATCTATTGACAAAAGCCTACCAACACTACTGTTCATTCATGCGGTCTACCTAGGACCACAAATCTTCCAATGTTAGTCGTGTGTTGTCTCTTACCACTGGAGAAGCAATTAAGTTGACATTCGCTTTAGGGCAATTCCAAGACCCACAGATAAGAAGATTCAACTGCGTTGCTGTGGATCTTAGGCTACATGGGCTCACGACGGGCGATCCGCTTCCCGAAGGGTACGGTGCACAAGAGGCAGCCGAAGATCTTGCATTATTCATGGTAACCGACTCATTTGTTCAACAAGGCTCATGTAACTGAATTGCGAGGTTTAACAGGAAGAGATTAAATTACCCGCCTGTCACCTAGTGGGTCTGTCGATGGGCACTGTAGTTGCGGTGGGCCTCGCTGTCTACTACCCAAATAAAGTCGCCTCTCTTTTCCTTGTGTCGCCGCTAGGACTAGAGGAGGTGCGTCTTTCTTTTTCGACACGTTTAGGCGTTAGCCGAGATTAACGCTGCATGTAGCTAGCGGATGTCGCTGATGGCCGGCGGCAAATAGCAGAGTACTGGAGAGAAGGTTTCAAGACGGGTGAGCCCGACATGGCGGTTATCTCTGATGCGGTCTACGGCGCCCAACAATTGGGTTTCAGCAATAATCCCAATAGCTTAGCGAACGCGTACGTACATCAGCATTTCCTCAGGCCGTTCCACTGTAACCAATTGTTGTTATAGGCTACTCAATATTTCACTTCCTCTAGCCCTGAAGAAATGTGTTCCCGAGAATTTTGACCAGTACGACAGAGCCACAATCGATTTTCTAAACAATCGGAAGGAGTACACTACCGAAGAACTCTCTCGGATACACGTCCCTGTCAAGTTGGTTCATTGCCTAGGGGATATCGCATACCCTCAGGAATACACCGAAAGGTTTATGCAACAGTTGAAAGACGCTGCAGTCGCGGTCAGTTTGGCCACCATACCAGAGGCTCCACACTTTGGCGTTGTAACACACGGAGACATGTGAGTAGAATTGTTCCATACAATGAAACCGACAGCTGATACTACTATCTTTCAAGTGTTAATCAGTTACTTCATAACTTCATCATCGCTAGTTGCGCGACCTCTGTTCCTCCGGCACCCCGAGAAGTCAGCTCGCCATGGGAGGCGGAGTTGATAAAGGCTGGTTGGAAAGAGTGTGAGAGCGACTCTGAGGACGATTAAAACCGGTTCGCCAAACATATACCCCATTCTACTTTTAGATACAGTTTGTTAATAATGCTTAGCAGAATTTACGTGTCCTCTACATGCGTGAGAGTCATATCTGTATAGCCAAGGCTGAGTTGAAAGTGAGTCCATGGGAATTGAGGGTGTAGATTGTGTCGTAACACAATGTAGACTTTTGCAACTTCGTGTTCTCTTCTTCCTGTTCGTTGGCAAGAAAGACGGAGACTGAGACGCCACTCAGATGGGTCCGAAGAGCCTCAATCGCATGAGACAGAACCATTGAAGGTGTGTATATGGGATTTTTGCGCTCTCATACCGCACTGAAGCCCTAAAAAAATCACCTAGAAACGCGGAGGAACGAACATCACGCTCGTGTGTTATTTTGCCTTATTCTGTCCATCTGAGCCAGCTCATCGGGAACCTATAAATTAATTTGTAGCTGGCGATTTCGCGGCAACGTCACAGTGACCATGTTCCTGGTCGAAGAACACAACCGTGGCGTGGATATTATGGTATGCAAAGTACCTAATAATTGGGTGACACAACTCCCTTGTTACTACGCAAGTTACGGGCTTACCCATTTACCCACCAAGTTCACCGTCGTCCCACGCATTTGAAGGTGAATTCTTGGAATACTTAATCGAAATGACGTTTTCATAATGATGGGTCCCCGATAACGGATCGTCGTAGAAACGGTCTGTACGCTTTTCGCATCTCTATATGGAACCGAATCATGATGGGTTAGAAGTTCTTCAAATTACAGTAACCGTCTGGACAGTGTTCATTGATATGCCCGACTTCTTTCATCGGTCTTAAGCTGCTTCGAAGTTCCGCCTGTCGGACCTCAGAGCGCCATGGCTGTGTGCCAAAGCATTTGGTTCCGCTTGGCTAGTAGTAGAGGCTGGGCGATCGATACTCCTCTTTCCTGGAACACGGTCAGAAAGCGTAAATGTGATCTCTTCTCCGACTCGGAGTCGATGGCTCGAACTCGGACCCGAACTTCTTGGCCATCGAGTGCCTTCCATCATTCGTGAGATGCCCTAATTCCTTACGTATAATCCCTATCGTGGACCGGAAGCAAAGATCTGACTTGCATTCAAAAATTTCAGGCTTCGAGGACAAAACTTATACTAGTCACTGGTTGGTATTCGTCCTCTTGGATTCGAGCCGGGACAACAACTTCGTAAACCAAGAGTAAAGTCGCAGGATAGTAGCAATTCTGGTACATTGCGTAGTAACGGTACATATATATCATCGTAACATCGTCCTATCGTTCGTATTCACAGCCGGCAAGAAAGTAGCTAACCATATAACCATATAACATCTAGGACGCATTAATCACCTCGAGAGGAATGCTTCTTTGTCCAGATAATTATATATTAAACAAGCACGTAGGATCTTGACAAAGACGGCAGCCCCGACGAGCCTCGTCGATCTGAGTAATACTGGTGCTAGGACCCTCCTCCGCGCTCTGAGAAGGCATTACCTCAAATATCTCTGGGTAGGAAACGAGGCCACCTCTTCCTGAGAAATGCCCACCCATATGCTCGATCTGACAACGGGATAATTAGCCAGCTATACAAGAAGGAAGAAGAACCCAGATACTCACAAAGGGACGCCACTCACATACGTTTTTGACCTCCCGTCAAAGGGGTGCGCCCCCGGACAGATAAGGCAGAGGTGATTCTGCTTCAGTGAAGCAATCTCTTCCACCGTCGCAGATTCCGGGTCCAATCCGATGGCCCGTATAAACGTCGGCATGAACGCCATCAGACTCTCATGCCTCGATAAATACTCCGCAGTCCACACACGCCTCCGTTTCGATTCCGACAGGTAAACAACCTGCGAATTCATGCTCTAAGACCTCGGGAAAGAACAGCATTCTGCCGACGAACACCGTCCCTGGCAAGCGAAAACATTACACGCCAGATAATCGCGCTTCTGTCTCTTGGATCGAGTATCCCCGAGAACCCGGAGGAGTTCATCCTGTGTGCGTTCCGCCCAATGCTTGCGAAAATCATCTACGACCGGCCTCAAGTGCCTTGCACCGACAGTGATCCGCAGGGGAAGGTCGAGGATGTCTTTGAGAGGACCAAAGGCTAGGAAATCGGTGATGGACGGGACTTGGGCAGTGCGGGACTCGAGGATGTCGGTGGCGAGGGCGATGCGGGTCTTGGTGACTAGTGCCTTGGATACGCGCTCGTCTTCTACTGCTTTAACCGCTTCTTCCGCCAGCGGGATAAGAGTTTTAGAGATTTTGGATCAGACTTTTAATGAATGTATGATTTCAGAAAATGACAGGGGACAGTGTCGAGGAAACGTACCTTTCTCTGTGAGGGCGCTTGCCTGCTTGACAAGCGGGTGCTCGGGGAACTTGAGTTTGAAATCCAGGGATTCGAAGGCTTCGCCGTAGCCGAGCGCCTCGAGTTTCTTGGTTATGCTAGATAGTGATGTTTATCAACCCCAGACGATAACAATCGGGAACGATGGTAGACGTACGCGGCTGCTCTATTCTCCTTCAATTCTTTCAGCTCCTCTTCACGTTGCTTGACCATCTTTTGACGCCACGTGTTTCCAATGTATACGAACTGATTTCATGAGAATCAATTGGAGGACAACAGAGTGGGGTGGATGCAGGGACACGCACGTTAAGCACTTGCTTGACGTATTCCCGTTTTTCTTGGCGATACGTATCTACCTTGTCCTTGGGAAGTGAGAGATACTTAGCTTTGACAACATCGAATTCTTCTCGTAGATATTGAATACCAGGTAATCCCAACAGTCAGCTGAGAAATTCTCTTTATATGATAAGAGACACACCTTTCTCCCTTCGTTTAGGCAACAGCTTCTTGATGAGAGTCGATCCCACCTGTATCAGAACCTGTCGCAGGGTCAGAAATGATGCTACGACTGCGTGAGCTCCACAAAATTCAGTAGGGGGGTAAACCGGAAGACTTACTGCTCGCCCACGCACTTCGTGCATATACGAGTAAGAAGAAAAAAATCAACATTGCGCACCGTACTTTTACAACAGAACTAGAAGAAGAACACAAATGCGCCAGAATATCTGACGACCAGTAAAAAAAGACACGCCGTACGTTACACTTATTGACGAACATCAAATTCGCCCACCTCGGTTCGGAGAAGCCTGACATCGGAGGAAGACAATCCACAGTCTTACGCGCTGTTTTCCACATAGTCGTTGACGATGGGTGCATGAATACCGAACGAAGATCTTTGGATGTTCGTGCGAGGTTTAACACGTCTTTGGGACTCAGGTGGCCCATAATCTACAGAACGTCCGAGTCGTGCCAGTGGTTAGCGCCCTGCCTATAACACGATACGACGCGACCCTCACCTCGAGCCACATCTCCGGGGGCATGGATAGAAGCCTTACGAGCATCCCAACGCGAAGACGACGCGTCATCGAGATGATGGTGGTAGTGGTAGTGTTGCCTCGTGGAACAGTGGTTATTATACGCGAAGGCACGTGTCGCAAAGGCACCCACTGGCCAAACGGACGGTACTCTTTTGTCGATTTATTACGCGGCTGGCTGTGTTTTGCAAACAGTCGTTTTGAGCCATTTCTTTGTGAGGGATAGGTACCAGGCTGCGGTGCACCCGAAAGAGCCTGGCATTTGTCCTACTGGCTGGGTGTGTTTGCATTTCCCGGATTTTGGCAGATAAATGATGGCCGATGAGTTGAGCCGTTGTCCCGCATTTCGGGAAGTTGAAGTATACCGCATAATGGTTGTTCCATGAAGATTTTACTGCTGCTCAGACTCTGAGAGGAAAAACGCGACTTGGACCATGACATATGCTAATGAGCGTGCCACGTGAATTTCGAGTTGGGCGCTTTCGGCGAAGCGCAAGTAACTGTATACGGCCATCACACATTTCGAACTCCGTCCATACGGCCCATAAGACACGTGCACATGTAGGTCTCAACCCGGTCCTGCACTGAATCTCTACTAGATTAAGGTTGTACTCTTGCGAAGGAAGAATAGATGACGATTGTGACTCTGTACACAATCCTTTCAAGTCAAATCATAACGCCCAAGGCATTAAGTACCACTGTCTTCGTTCCCAGGACAGACTTGGTAGGCAAAGCAGTGAGGCATCAGCATAATATAGAAATTTCGTGGACATTAAAGTCCAAATCAAAAAGCGTTATATATATTGTAATACACATATCCTTCCCAATTGACATCCGGAGAATAATTATGATCCATTCTACATCTTAGTATCTGGTAGATCCGCGTCGCGTACCGAGGATCCAGAGAGTTTCTCATCATCAGTTTTCATACCGGCAGCTAGCACAAGCTGATCTTTCGCGTCATCTCCGTCGAAAATAACGGCGGTCTCCTCAAGAGTAAGATTCTTTGTCTCGACAATGTCTGTACAAAGTGTCAGAACTGACTCATTCATGGTTCAAAGAAAAGCGCCCACAAAGGTAAAGGAAAACGCATTCAAACGCAATCCAGCACACGTAGACGATCTGTAAACCAGGTCAACGGAGGAAGATGATAGAATGGTACAATCACGTACATAGTACTTCCAGCCGATGTTGCCTGCCAAAATTCAGATCATTTGGGTACAACGATGGAGTGAATTGAAACGCTTACCCAATGCGATAGGGTTCACATACTGGTTGAAAATCAGAGCCATTGAAATTGTGAAGCTGAATACGGTGAAGCCCTTGGCACGGATCGGGTAAGGAAGAATTTCGACAGTGTAAGCCACAATCAAGGGCGAGAATGCAATACTACGCAAAAAAATGAGAAGCTGCCGTATAAGATGACTGATAGAGGCATTGCTTACTCGTAGGCTGCATAGAACAAGAAAATGAAAGCTATTAGGGCATGCGCAGCTCCCTCAGTTCCTTTCTCGCTGTGCACCGCAAAGCAGATAGTTTGAGCGCTGAAGAAGACGAACATGCCCACTGCGGACATCATGAACAGCAGGCGTCGGCCGAGTTTATCAACGAGGCCTGAAGCGAGCAATGCCCAAGCCAAGTTCCAGATTTGGAGAATACCGTTGATCAAGAGCTGAAAGGAAGACAAACATCACCGCCTGTATCCAAAGCATGCAGCCGACAAATTACTTACCTGAATTGTTGGACTCTTGATGTTGATGTCGTTCAAGATCTGGTTCAAGTAGTACGATGCCAAGCCGTTACCGGACCACTGGGAGAAGAATGCAATAGCGATGATGATCCTCATACGTTTACGATTTCCGGGGGTGGAAACCAAAGACTTCCATCCGACGTTGGCAGTCACTAAAATAAGACTCGATGATTAGGTGGCGTGGCCGAAGACGTGAGCACGCACCGGTGCGGTCCAATTCAATGGCAGCCCTGATTTCCTCAAACTCATGCTTTACCAGTGGATCCTCGCTACAGTTTGGTTATTAGACATTGATGTCCAAGGAAGTCATGTCACACATACGCATTTCCATCGGCATGATAATAAGCCAAGACCTTTAGGGCTTGCTCTTCACGGCCCTTGCTGACAAGCCAACGCGGAGACTCAGGGATGAACCAAATGAGGGCGACCTGTAGTACAGAAGGCAGGGCCTGAAGAGCTGACGGAATTCTCCACGCCCAAGTGTTCTTGATCTTGAAAGTACCGAAGGTTGTCCAGGCAGCACTACAGGAACATCATAATCAGGAAAGACCTCTGAATGGATGATTATTTACATGATAGACCCCAGATACCAGAGGGAGTTATATGTTGACGTGAGAGGTCCACGATAAGATGGATATGATATCTCAGTAACCAGCATGGGGGCCGAATTTGCTATTCAAGCATAAGTTACTTCGTATTCTGCGGTATAGCAGGCGTACTAGCAAAGGTCAAACCAAAACCAATGAGAAATCTAGAAAAATGTTCAAAAACGTCGATCTATACAATGATAACACGAACGTACCGAGCTCCAATAAACATCCCAACTGACTGAGAAGCCGTCTGAATAGCTGTAGCCATAATCATGATTGTAGCACCCAGAAAAATGGTATATCTCCGTCCAATGCCATCCGAAGAATATGGAGCAAAGGGGTACGCGGCGAGATTCCCAATATGCTGTAGAAGCGGAATTATTCGCCAAGGCTCGAAAGAAATGCAGAACTATATTCGCACCTGGATGGCATTCAGAAGGCCAAGTCTCCCGCCAGTTGGCTTGTGAAAATACTCAGACCATTGAGTGAGTGATTGCAGTCCATTCATCATGCTTCCATCGTATCCATTCGTAGAAGACGTGATGAGTCTGGTCGAAACGTTGGTCATCAAACTACCAAACCTAAATGGAACGCTTACAGCAAAAGGATACAAAAGTGAAGGGCAATAATTCTTTCAATAAGAAAGAATTCGTGAGCCTGACGCCCAACGATAACAAAACTATCGTACCTTCTGTTATTATACCATTTCCTGCTGGTGTCGATAAGGTGACTATAACCGGCCGACCCAGTGTTTGCAACAGCACCTCCAGCCATTGTTGCGTATCGAAGTTGAAGGTATAAGAACAACAGAGTTCGCTTGAACGTACCAGACGGGTTAGTACCCACGGGCATAGTCCGTCCCATGGGCAGTGGCAGCTGATCGCAGAAGTTTCTCACAAGGTACGCCATAACTTGAAGAATTGAGTCTAGTACGGAGGGTCAAAGATGCATTTTTAGTATTGGCTCCGACCTACAGGACACGAACTACACACCCCAGAGGCTGTGCTTTATGCCTTACCTTTGCCACACTGTCCGTGGAACATGCCGCATTTTATCGAAATTTAGCCACCTTGTCTACAACTTGGAGCTACTGTGTCACTCTCCTGAAGCGTTGACGTCGCCTCTTGCACTTTACGGTGTTCCATTTCTGTGAGAGGTGATCAGTTGAGCATCAAGGGGCTGTTATATGAAGCGCACCGTATTCATCGGGATGCTCGGCATGTGTATAGATTTGGGTGGTGATTTGGACACCACTGGAAGTCAATGAACGGATCAAATTCAGATACTCACCGTGAGGAAGATAATATACGCACACTCCAGCGCCCATAGGCTTGCCCTCACTGATGCTTTCTGACGTTACATCACCTCTTTCTTCGTTGTAAACATTGATACCGGTAGAACGAGCGACTTTGATGAGCAGTCCTAGATTGAAACGCGGTCACAATCACCGTGCTCAAGGGAAACTAGAAACTACTCACGAGACATTGAGTCATCTCAATTTGTAGCTTGACAATGTATACCACCGGGTGGAAGTTGGAACTAAGTATAACGGTCCGGTTCAGTCCGGCAATTGGACTCCGTGTCATCGAACCTCACCTGACAGTATACGAATTGATTCCCGAGAGCGGTGACGCCCAAAAGTAGGACGTCCATGCCGACAAATATGATAATTATATATTGATTGGAGCTGTGGTTATAATAGTGTGAGTAAGTAGAAGCGGCGTCTACAAGTACCGGCACATACCTCATGACTTTATCGTACTTCTTTAGGCCATGCTGGATAAGCCGTGTCTTCACTTTGTGGATGAACAAGAGATTGAGGAACAAGTCCAAAACTGCGATGCCGCTATTAGTAGGTGAGATAGACGTTGTGGGGACATGACTTACGAAGGTACACTGATTTCTCGAATCGATCATACCAATGGTTCAGCTGAAGCCATTATATCAGTGGGAGACAGAGAATGACGTTGTAGAGGAGCGCACAGAAATGTACGTAGTGTTGATTTGGAGATGTGCAGGAATCCCTGTTTCAGAATAGATGAAGTCCAGATGTTTCATCCGGTAGACTGCGAACGCCACTTACAAATCCAGTAGCGGCGGAAGCCGGGTCCCCGATTCTTTCCTTATTTCAAATATCGGTTTTATCGGTCGAAGGTTGAAACGCAGTACGAAATAACGCTCAGGCACTTTCTCACGTTTCTCTTTTCTGCCACGTACCATCATGTCCTCTTTGTCGCGGATGTTCCATCCAGTATGTAGACTATATAGTGGGATATGTGAATATGTATTTTCTAATTAATCTGCCTTTTTGCCATCTTGCTTTTCTATCATCTTATTGAGGATTGCTTGTAGCATGAAAATCGCTTTGCAGATGTCAGTCAGCTCCAGATCATTGCGATCCAAAAGCCACAGGACTTCAGCAAGAGATGTGGACGTATTGGCGACTCGGAAAGTCGAGGTAATCGCCTGGTTGGAATGTTTGGGTCGTCCCAGTGACCAGACGATTTCTTTCGGTGTGTTTGTAAGTTGGCTTATATCCTACTCGGCGTCAGTATTTGACCTTGGTATCAGAAGGATTATAAAGCGCACTTTCTTGCGTTCAGCGTCACCTAACGCTAGAGCAATCGAGGGAGGTGAAGGAGGTGGTAGAGAATTTCGGTTTGTATGCATGTCCTGGATGAACGTTGGATGGTGAGCGTGATTCTCTTGAATAAGATACACTTACCGAGAAGTTAACGGCCATGTTGTTAAAGGTGTTGTCAGGTTGCAGTGACTCCGGGAAGATCTGTGGAAGGGTAAGGTCAGGCGAGAAATAAATCGAGCTTGCTCGTACGTCTAGCCTTCTGTAAGGTAACGCATCAGCGGGACAGGGGGGATAAGGTTCGTGAGGATTGGTAGACAAGCCCAAATGGTTGGACGATGTTACGTGCGAGAGGTCTGGTGTTGCATACGATGTGAGGGTATCGGCGTATGCGTACTGTCTGAGATCATGAGTTTCCATGTGGTGACGGGGGCTAGCTGTTAGTTCAGCAGTAGTGCTTCTAGCGCAGATAATATATGTCTCGACCCGGTACTCAGGAATGTATCGATGTAGAACAGAAATTATCTCCAGGTTGACAACGGCTTCATGCATTGTGTGGCGCGTTAGGACTGTCTTCGTCTATACAATCATTCCTACAATTTGCGATGGAAAATGTTCACGATGTCTCGGACATTTTGTCAGACTATCGGCTCAAGTGATATGAATGGGAAAATGATTCTGCCATGTACTGGCGAGCTGCGGACAGAATGTATTCATTAGATTATGAAGAAGCTGGCAAGGACAGCGTGACAGCACATATAGGTGATATGTATCTGTCACCTCGTACTCAGCTTCTCCGCCGATGGACATACCCCTTCAGGGTGAAGTTCCTCTGAACGCCACTGAGAGTTGCTGTTCATTTATTACAGTATACTATGTATTGTTTAGGAAGATACAAGCGACATGCTACGCGTATTTGTATTTCGTTAGCTCATAAAGATACGCCCTGGTGGTGTCATGAGGATCCTCTTCGTCTTCGGAAGTCGGCTCAGGAAAGTCCTCGCCGAGTACACCAATATCTCCAAGGTTGGTGAGATATTTAGGCAGCGGTTTGGCCGGAATAGTGCCGCTTGTAACGGCAGGTGGATCATGTATCTTGGCCACAATTTGAATGTTGAAAGAACCCACGTCGTCGCCGTACTTCGTAGCGGTGAATATCAGCAATGCGATGGTTCCTTCCTCCAGCTCGGATTTGATTGGAGGGCATTTGTGAAATTTCGTGGGATCGAACTCCCTCGTCGCGTCGAACAAGGGTACTGTTGAACAGAATATATCAGTGTATGTGTGTGGCATGATGTAGGTAGTATATTTACCATCTTCATTCCAGTGTCGGACGGCTAAGGAGCATTTTAGTAAGTCGGCTGACATACAATGGAAGTGAGACTAACGTGGACCGAATGTTTTGCCGTTAAGGCATGCCTTACTAGGTGTAGGGGGCGCTGATGGATCTGTGACGGTATTAGCTTGAGCTGTTCTAGGTGTTAGGTTGACATACCTTTCGGCTTGGGATATGTCGTGAATACAAGTCCGTCTCGAACTGTCTTAAAACTGAAGAGGTTGCGATCAAAGTCTACTTCCATTATTTCAGCCAGAACGGATGCTTGACGAGGCCAGAAGTTTTTCAAAGGTTTAATCGTGATCGCACGATTGAATTCGCCTTTGAACAGACTAGAGAATGTTACCGAACCTATCATAAAAAAACTTTGAGGGTAAGTATATGCGCCTGTGATCCTCTTGTTGGCATATTTGAAGTCAGATGGTTTTCCCAGAGTCAAGTTGGTCAGACGAGGCGTGGAAGGGATGAAAGCCAGCGTCATCAGGTGCCTTATGATCTCTTCTCAGTAACGCGACGACAGATCATAGCAAATACGCACAACAAGAAAGGGAGATCGTTTTGAAAACCGTCAACCCAGTTGTATATTTGGATCCGGTCCTCTCTGTACTCCATGTTGGTGTCAATGGTCTTGATACGTCGCAATTTGGGGATGGCGTCTATGATACCGAGCCAAGGATTGTACCCCGCGCGCAAGCTTGCAATGGTGTACATGAATATAAGCTGATGTTACCAAAAGTAATAACACGCACTCTTTAGTGGTGACTTCATGGCGATCGGAACTGGACGGGTTGGCCGTAATCGTTGTATCTCGAGACCCACTCGGCATAACCGGGGGAATGCTTGGAAGTATCAGGCAAAATGTGAAAAAAATCATGGTAAAGGACACGAACCTGTTCGTGTTGTATTGCATCATCTCGTCTTCGCCAGGGGTAGGCGATGATGTTGCCCTATCAAGACAGAGTCGGTGTCGGTATAAGAACAACAGGTATGAGCTTACGGAGGGCTGTTTATGCCCGTTTCGATATCATCAAGTGGTGGAGAGTTACTGTCGACCGTACTAAACAATTAAAAAGGTCAGTTGTTTCGATTCCATGAGACACACGAAGGTACTGACGTGCCATCACTAGCACTATCGGAACGTTGTTCGATCGGGGCACTGTCCATGATGATCAAAGGAAATGAATTATGAACAGAAAAGAAGAGCCTACTTTGGCACGGTCAATCTTACTCTTTTCTTGCCAGATGGTTTCGTCGCGGGAAGGGGGTTAACGGAAGCGTTACGCTTGGTGGGAGATGTCATAGCAAGTACAGTTGTGGCAGAGGAGATCAGGTAGCATTGAAGCAACGAACAGTAGTAAATAGCACTCAAGCACTGGTCAGTTATAACCAGAAAATATAGCTCTATGACGTTGTTCATACACAAATACACGGGGTCGATTCACTGTATGGGTTTACCTGGTATCTTGTCATCGCAGACTGTAGTCCGAGGAGCCTGCTCGGACATATTCTTCAATCCATCCAAGAAAATGTCATTTATGCGACGGAAGTTCCGCTATGGATGACCGGAGTCGGAAGAGATTCTACATGCGAGTAGACCGGGTACGCCATAAAGGGTCCTCTGTCTCGATATGTATGATTTCAATTTTAAAAGGGTCCATGAAGCTAAAACGGATGTACATGTATTCGAAGCCGAGCGCAGATTACATCACATACCTGATGTGGCAGATCAGTTACTCCTCGCTGTTCCTGTAGCCGGATGCAAGAAAATCTGTATGCCGTACAGGTACGACCCTTGCTCATAATTTCAGTAGCGAGGAGAAAGGGTCTATGTAGCTTGTTAGGAAATATGAATGTTGGTCGAGAAGCTATAGTTTTGCCTTGTAAAGTCAAGGGGTAATTCTAACCGACGGACAAGGGTCTAAAGTACGCCGATAAAATATCCGTCTACTTCACTATTTGTATTATTAATCCGTGGTCACAATAGCCCTGCATACCGAAACCATCGAAGGCGCGATGTTCCGTTGTATCGCATGTACCTAGGGGTCAAAGAGCCGTAACATCGTTAGGTTTGAATACGTATGTCCTGCCGACGGAGACACAAAAATGACATGGAAAGTAGAATAATCAGGAGTGACCGTGATGTATATACTTACATATTCTCAATGTCTGAAATGGGGTTTTCAGATGCTTGATATACCAGCATCACCATCGTTATCATTATGCCACCGTTCAGAAAGATAGAGCTGACTGGCGAAAACGGGTTTGGCTTGTATGTCTTCATATATGTGTTATTGCTGTAGGCTGAGTTTAGTGAGCAGACCAAGATTGACGAACGACTTCATCTTCCGGGATATGACAACAGGAGACCTACTGCGAGTTGCTCGCACTAACACGAGGAATTACAATGCAGTGGGAGATTTTATGAGGAGGACATACTCGGTCTCAAAACTGCTACGCCCTTTCTTTTCAGAGAATGATGTTCCTCGGTTTGTTGCAGCGCAGCGCAAGTCTGGTACCATGATCATTGGATCCATCGCTCTGTCCTATTTCACTCGGGATGCTTACATCAACAGTGACTTGGATTTACTTGTTAATCGAGCAAACGCAGTCCATATGAGAGGGTTCTTGATTTCAACGGGGTATGCGTTGGATAATAGGATGGTTGTACGCACCTTGTTGGAGGCGGCTAGGGCTGCGCACTGTACCGTATACGGTATACGGCCGTAAAACCATAATCCCAGACGGTCACGGAACTGTCCGTATACCGTACCGTATGATCAGCTTGAAAGCCTTGTCGGCGTCGGTATGGGTACCTTACGGCCGTCTACAGCCGTTGACGACCGTGCACTGGAGGACAAAATGACTTTACTTATATAGAGTCACCGTAGAGAATTTATGGTATGGTCTGATGGCTTTTGGATGGCTCGAGAGATGAAGAAGATAATATAAGCATGAAGGCAACAGATTTCGGAGGGGAAGACAAGTCAGATGTGTCCGAGATCACGAAGGAACTGTAAATCGCACCTATATTGAACTAAGTGGACACACATATGTATCCGAAAGTTACACATGCTACTCTGAACGCAAACAAGACAGCTGCATGGTGCCATTTTGCATGAAATTTTGTTCTAAAGAAGGCTCTAGATAAGATGCAAGGTGAAGCCGTATTACGACGTTGTACGGCCGTATGTAAGAACTCTTGACAGCGACAGAACAACCGTACACCGTACCGTACACATGGTCATTAGTGTGCGTTCGGCTTCGGTCCGTCTTCCGTATAACGGTTACCGAAAACCGTATAATACGGTGACGGCGCGCAGCCCTAGAGGCGGCACACGATGATGCGCCTATCGATCTCAGGTTTCCGACATTGGGAAAATCGGTTAAATCTATTGAAAGTATAGAAACATACTGATCAACATCATCGGACAGAGTCGTGAGACTCGTAATGTGTGTTCGAGAGGAAATCGAAGTGATCTTGGGGCTTCATTCCAGTGCGTTTATAATAAACTCGTTAAAAACTTTTGCATTGATTTAGTTTGAATGTCGTAGCTTGCACAATGAACTTTATCACACACGCACGCACATACTCTTTATATCCGAGGGCGACACTGGACTATCATGCATCCGCTTCGCGCTTTACCACCGACGAGCGTGAACTAGAAGCCCAGGTCAAATATAGACAGAGAGGATGGGTGCCCATTCCACGTTTCATCGTTGACGGCGATGTAATACATGACAGTACATTGGATTTCCCTGACGTTGACCATTTTGTCGGCGATCAGTACACGCTGCGATGGGTGTTGGGAAAAGAGAGATCCGTAGAAGCATTGGGACAACCGTTCTTAGAAGATGATGATGCTGAGGTTGACATGGACGCGTGGACACTTAAGTATATGGAGCCGCGACGGAAGGGTGTCGTTATAAATTTTGCCGTCATGAAAGGGAAGATGATGTTCAAATCTTATTGTTTGTCAGATGGTATGCTGGAAAAAGTTATGCTGCACATGGGTAATTGGTAGGTGCGGTACTCTAATCTTCATAGCTTACACTGAATATAACATTTGCTATAGGAATGATATCAATATGAAGGAATTTGTTGCTCGCTATCATAAACAGACAGTCTAATTAGCCCATACAATTAAACACTTCATGTTGAATCAGCCTTATGTTTGATGGGGCACAGGGCAGTGACGTACGAGGGTGGTTTTCAAACATCCTATCTATTACCCAGTCGCTTCCCCAACGAAAGCTGACTTTCGCTCCTGCGGATAGGTGGGGGAGTTGACTCTCCACGCATGAGCGAAGGGTAGCCGCGTGCTCGATGTAATCTTCGTCGAGTACAGGCAAGGCTATGTTCAGCTTTGAAAGAGAATCCGTGCCGTGATAATAGAAATGTTCATCCAGCGCATGCAGCGCCTCGTACGAATGGAGCGTGTCCGTAACTGGGATACTGAGTTCCATGACAGTTGCTTTAGATGATGACAGGGATATCAAGCTTCTGATGCAGCTCTCCAGGTGCCTGTATGGCACTTCAGCGGTAAATGTTTCTAGATGAAACATGGCACTGAGATCAAGATATGCATCTCTGCTCTCATCGTCTGTAAAGTGGATACTGTGAGCCAATCACGAGAGTCAGGCAAGCGAAACTGATCACCTAGGTACTTGAGAGTTAAATGTCGTAGTGTTGTGCTTGCTAGTCCGACGATGTGTCAGGCAAGACGGACATCCTGCACAGACAAACTGAGCTGCAGAGTGGATAGTAGGATGGGTGTTGTACGCCAAAGGATCCAGTCCGAGAAATAGCTGTGTAGCTTCGCAGCGAGTGGACCCTCCGAGTCTTCATCGGAGACAGAGTCATGGCAGAGTAAACGAGTGAGGTTTAGGTGCAACATAGAGAGGGTAACAGGAAGGGATAGTGGATGGGTGTCGGCGCAATGCGAGTATCTCATGGAGATAGACAGACCACCAACGCAACACAATGATAGCGTCGGCATCCCGGTCAATAGATAGTGCAATGCGGAAGATGTGAGGTGGCAATTCCAGAGTATGAGGCGCCTCATGGATGACATGGTAACGGTCCTCGCCAAATCTACGGTGCTTCCGTCTATGAGCAGGGATTGTAAAAAGGGCAACTGGGCCAATATGGCGGCCAGGGATGCATTGTCGGTAAACACCCATGCGGGACCCAGTATGTTGAGGTGGGAAGCTCGCGATGTCCCGTCATCTGGACCCGACGGCAGCGCGTTAGCATCAGTCGAGGTGACATTGATGCCAACAAATATTCTTAGAAGTGTGGCGAGGTGTCGGCTGATGACTGGTCCAGGAGGGAGTGGTGCGTAGTGCTCTACACACTGATGATTGAGCCTGGTAAGATCTAGACCTTCGAAGTCAATTCGTATCATGATGGGTGTATGTTGGTAGAGTGTAAGAAAGCACAACGCTCGGTTTATAAGAATACTGTGTTCTTAATTACCAATTCGTAAGGGGTAAATAGGGGAAGTGACTATGATGGGTAAGGGAGACCTCGGTATCCGGTATCATGGAAGTACTGTTCAAGGTGGAACGAAGCGCATCCAGTGTGATCTGTAAGTCATATAGTAAAACCGGATCTTTATCGTAAAGAATGATGCTTATACGAGATAAGGTGGTGTTACCCGACAATGCTATCACCATCGATTCCCATGCCGCTGCATGCAATCTAAAATCTAGCAAGCCGCTGTTCTCCTCGACCCCATACAAGACACGGAGGTACGATAGCGTGCTGATATCCTTCAGGGATCTGACCAAGAGCAACAGATCTTGGTGGAGACAAGTGCAACTTTCCACAGATAGCGATGATAGAATGCATAGCTTGTGGACGTTGAAAACACGGGGAACAGGTCCGAGATGATCTAATGAAGCAATGAACATTGGCCGCGAACGGTTTTGAGCTCACGTACCAAGTCTTACAATAGAAAATGTTTTCATGTTTGGAGCCACGTCTGGTAAAGCATGATGGAATACGTCTGAAATGTCACTCCTTATTCGCAGCGAAATATCTGTGACCGTGGCGAAGAATGAAGATGTAGAACAAAAACGAAGGAACGAGTCCATAGTGGCCTGTGTTGCCGACTCGATAACCAGCCAGTGCATCTGGTGGGAGGATCGAAGGACGGTGGTTGTGTCAATGTCGCGTATATCTGGTGCCCCGACGGTTGCAACGAAGTCAATTATTCGGAGGTAAGATAAGGATGGAAATGCTGTGGATACATCGGACCATATGGTATCCGGCAAATGGCAGCAGCGCAGCTGAAGGAGGCGGAGCGTGGAGACAGGACTGGTGGTTAATACCGTCCAGTCGAGTTCAAATGCGTTACAGATGATGGTCGTGAGATATGGGAGACGACGAAGGATCATGGACGAGGTGACATGATTGTCGAGGATGAATATGTCGCCGGTGAAGGTGATATGCTTCACATAATGCTCAATGGACTGGTTTTTTTTGAGGAGAGACCAACACGCAGGTAGGTCACATTCCCCCTCTTGGACTTTCAGTGCTTCAAACATATAACCATGAGCAAAGGGCAACCACTGTTTCTGTACTAGCGAGAGACGTTTCCCATCATCGATGGACGAAAGGACATGCTGAAATATTTTCAGCAGTATCTCGGGAGAAAGAAGATTTATGGGAGTGGAATGCATATCAGAGTGGAGACGCTGTATGTGTGCGAAACGAATATAATATTATGTTAAGGACACTGAGAATTGTGTGCGATATAAGCCACCGTGATTTAGCTTCTCCGAGCATGAGCGGGATAGCTGGGAATGCCGAGGAACTGACAAGAACAGGGTAGACAAACGGCATACGCTTAGTGACGATCTATCGCGTGATATCAAGATCAGGTCGCAGATTTCATCTAATATATAAATTCGTGACCGAGGTTCAAGAACGACTGAAGCAATGCGGCCTGCCACATGTACCACAGAAAGAACAGTTTTTAGTCTTACTGAAGAAGTTGTTCACGCAACCGTGAGTGATACTACGTATTTATCCTATCCCTAATCGTATTTATCTACCCTCTAGGATCCTTCCAGCCGGTGCAACGGAATCTTGTATGGTACACATTGCTGGGAGCCTATCGTGGTACCTGTTCGAAAAGTAATCTATTCCCATCGCACGGTGTCATTCGATGTCGACTTATGGCTGATGCCCGGTGATATGGGTCCTGTGTATCGAGTATGGGCGCCGCTCGATGCTGAACACCAGGTAGTGTTACACCTGGTAGATCACGACTTTGTGCCTCGTAACAGGCTATTCGATGGCATGATCGGAAAAAGAAGTGGTCTCAGAGGCAATGTGCTCGCTTTGAAAGTGAAGAACGAGTCGGGCCGATACGTCGACATGACTCTAGCAGATGAAGCTAAGACGAGTCAGACCTTGAAGGTGTAAGTCTGTCGTATTACACATATCACAGTGATGCTAATGTATAGTACCAGCCACATCGAACGTAAATTCAGTTTCAATTTCATGCACGAAAGCAGTATGTAGTGGAGTACGCATTATCCGCGGTATTTGTGAATATAGATGTTCTACACAATTTGAAGCAGGATTTTCCATAGAAGATGGGCGTAACACGCGTATATCGCGAATGTAAAGCCACCGCGTCGTCATCTTTCTTTATAGTGAGATCTGATACACTCGGCCTCGCATTGAGGGGAAATTTTTAAAAAATTCAAAACTAAAAGTGGAAGATAGTACAGGAATGAAACAGGCGAGTATTACAACAAGACTCCGCGGATTTGTCGATAATATCCATAGGGCGTAAGGGACTATACTCTGTCTAGAAAACAGTTTGCGGGGCGCACAACAGGCTAGACAAAGAGACGGGTTGTATCGGTGTCTCAAAGAGGACAGGAGACCCTTTATGCATGTACGGAACACTGCAGGACTATGAGAGAGGAAAGGGCGGCAAATAATTCGGCACATGTTATGAACTTATATGAAATATTACCACTTGTTGTAGAGGTATAAATATAAGGCCGGATTTCAAGAATAACATCTGGTCTTGCAGTACCATGTCATTCACTCGATACAGCGCAACTCTCTCTAATCTAACATCGATAATGGGCAACGAAACTCTCAGTAAGTCTTTATGATGCACGCGAAGACCACATCTGAACTGCATGATATAGGGACGGAATATCAAGATGCGATCACGTTCTGTAACAACAACCCATCTCAACTTGCTGGGTATGGGGATATCCAACGTCTTTTGGCAGAAACCATGGTAGACTCTGAATCTCGACCGGACGCCTCGTTCATTGTGAATCAAGAGACAAGAGAAGAAATGGTCTTTCAAATGCAAGGGATCGTTCTCGAAGTCGCCCTGCCTCCGGTACGCGGCAATGCAAACAATCAAAGGCTAGATGTTCTGCTATTCTTAGTTTGTTCGTAATGTACTGAGATCGTACGCAGGGTTTCCGTTAATCATCTCCAACAATCCGTAACTATCGTTGGATTGGAAGGTGATCGCCAGTTCGTCAAAGCGTTAGCGGCAATCAGCTGCATGCTCGATCTGTTGAGCCAGTTGGAGATGAACCACGTTCGTGCATCGCCACAGACGCGAACGGGTAACGGCGTCCAGGTCACCTTTCGCAACCGGCTGTTAACTCCTTCGCATGCGGCGAACGAGGACGATGTTGTAGCTTTGCTGGCTGTGGTTGACCCTCATAACTTGCTATCGAAGGAGCTTCAGCCTAACAAATTCTCATTCACCAAAGACTCTAATGTGTCACTCGAGAAGTACAGCTGGACAGCTGATGGACAGTAAGCATTCATCATATGTACAATCTTTGGTCATCTGTTGATGGAAGATAACCAGATACATTCATACCTCCGACATAGATCCACGTGTTTTCTGCCCCGGACAGGTTGTAAACGTAGGAGTATCATTCCGTTTATGTAAACGCGGACCCAGCCTATCATTTGTTCAGCGCCTGGACAGTATAGCCTTAATGTCGACCGTGGGAGCCCCTGTAAGAATCTTATCCCTGACTATTGAATTGACTAAGAGCTTACATGAACAATTCAGTTGGTGCAAGCCATGGAAATGGCGAGCAGAAACCATGAAGTGCAGCATCCCTTACCTCGCAAGCGCAGACAAGATGTCATGAAGATTGTGTAGATCAAAGGTCATACCTTCTGCTTGTAGCATCTGAAATCTCTCAGCCTCATATGAGATGATAGTATTGTAGAGCAGTAATCTCAGTATTTACATTGTAGCCAAAAAAAGAAATAACATATCAATGGGTACAGAAAGAACATCATGGACTGAACACTTGTACCCGTTTTAACCCCTACTCAGACAGCTCCGAATCGGAATTCCACTCTACATGCTGATTGAAGAAAACGGTCTGCAAGGCATGTACATATTGGGCCTTGTTCCAGTCTGACACCTCTGCCTCGTCAATCCATCGCGCCAACTCCTCCACCTGTCGCAAGATGTCGTATAAGTTTTGGAGAGCATCATGCAGCTCATGAGCCGAGGTCGATGGGGGGAAAGCTTGTATGTACTTGAGGAAAATCGCTGACATGTTACCCACGGCGTCATCAAGGCTGCTGTCAAGCACCATGAAGTCGATTGGTCCAGGTACACTGGAAGGATAAGCGGGGATAGTGGGAGGCGTAGCGTCCGAGAGTGGGTCTAAACTGGATGCATCTGACCACCCATCAGACTCCGACTCGGTGTCGGATGGTGAAGGATTTCGGGTGCGCGTGCTGTCTTCGCCCTTGTTGCCTTGTACATCACTATAACCCATTGCCCATGAATACAAAAGATAGCCGTTGTGTTTGAAGAATGCTCACCATATGCATGTAATGGCACCACAACATTTCTGCGGGTAGTGCTCGTTGTTTAGGCTCAGGAGTGGAGCATATGAGTCCATCGCATTCATGTTGATGGACGACGAGAGAAGCCTTGACGATAACGAAGGGACCAAAGCGCTACAAAGTTGTGCGTGACAAAATGTAATCAAATTTCTGGAAGCGTGCATGCGCCACATTATTACAAGGTTTTCTATTCGGTATATGCAGAGAGACCCTCGGCGCTCTCGGACATTCACATCCAGAGACCCAAAGCTGCCAATAGTTGTCAAGATGACCTGATTCCATCAGACACATGAGTCGCTGCCCTGACGCTTGAGAGTATCACTTACTGCACGTCTTCAAGCGAAAGCTGAGAGCATCAGCACACCAGCGGCTTGTTGCAGGATGCAACCATGTTGTTATATTTCGTCTCTATATTCGTGGTTATCATACATTGTCTCTATATCATGCAAGTCAGACATGAACTTCATGCGTGTCATAGATGCTTACGAAGGCTTTCACTGTCCCTGACCAACGATAGGTTAAAGAGAGGGCACGTGCGTGTTGTGCCGTGTTGAGTGATGGGCACGGACAGTCATATGCCCCAATAGCGCGTTCCGCTTGGGCATCGTGCACGGAATAGATGGCATCCTGGAAAATAGGACAGGATGTCTACAAATTTAATCATAAATATATCATATGTCTGACCGAGTACGGCATGACACTGACCTATCGAGGATTTGATGCAAGGACCAGCAGCAGCAAGGTATGATGGTGCCGATGATCAGGAACAGGATGAGTCCCTGAAAATCTCATGTCCGAATGCCCGAAAAAATTCGGACGTTCAGAGATAATGCAAAACACGCCATTTCCTGTTGGAGATTGCATTTCCCATGGTCTCCTTTTTTTACCTCCGCCCTTCATCGCGATCTAACTGTAAGTGGTCCCAGCACGTCTATCGCGCCCATACCAATTGTAAATGTTATATGTAGATAATAAAAGAAATATATGATGCAAGATAGTAAAAATGAACACCGAGAATGGCAACGCAACATGGAACACACATTCCTTGACCTTGAAGCTATAGTCGATGATGAAGACCAGGAAGACGATGAAAGTGACGAGGACATAGAAGGTACGTAACCTCTGACACATCCTAGATATACACCAATGCAATCTAGACTTTATCGATGATTCCGATTTGCCCGACGAAATGCTGACCACCGCTAAACCTGCACACGAAGGAGGTGGAGATGAATTTGACGCGATGATGGAGGATATTGCGAATCGCTGGATATCAACCAGATCCAAGGCGCAAAAAACCGACGAGTGCCGATTGAATGTGGACTATCAGTTGGGGAGCAACCCCAGTAATATTCGTTGATTTGAAAAGCAGGATTATCCGTTATGGAGGGTACAATGTGAGGTGAGTACAATTTGTATGTTTGACGCGTCGTATTGAGTACATCCAGTGTTTTCAAGAATACAAGGCTATACAACATATAATGTCCAACACGAAAGGACATGATATATGCTCTGCTTTCTACTGCAATAATCGACGTGGATGGATATATATGGAAGCGCCTTACAATGAAGTTGTAAAAAAATTCCTTCTCATGACACCCGGAGTACGGAAGATGGGTTACGCTCCGCCATGGTATATCAGAGTCGAGTCGATAGATATTGCGGAATGGGGAACTATCCTCCGCGAAGACGACGAGCAGCATCTTCAAGCTGGCTCATGGGTCCGCATTAAACGTGGACTGTATCGAGACGACATTGGTGTTATATACGAGACTACACCGGGAAACGTTATAGTATTGCTCATTCCTCGGTTGAGCCTCGAACCGCCTATCATCCAAGGAAAATGCCGATACCGACCGGAACGCCCAGCTCCGTCCCACCTATTCGATCCTTTACGGTTTCGAGATGGTGCAAATGCAACTAAGCATGAAAGGACGTTCGATGACACTGTCACAATTTTTCGTGGACATAAATTTATAGGAGGACTCATGCTCAAGAAGATATCCTCTTACGGAGTCGAAGAGGCCAAGCGAATTGAACCGCATGTCGCAGGCATATATTTGACCAGCAATTTACCGGTCTTGCATGAGTGGTCGCAAAAAATGCCTCCGCCACATGGGTGGTTGTTCAACATCGACGAACAGGTATCAATCAAGTCACTGGGCTCGAACGGCATTGTAACTGGATCCACACGAGATCGTGTACAAGTATGGCACGAAGAGACGTCGACAACAGTTGAGACAACATACTGGGATCTGTGCAAGGACTTTCAACCAGGAGATTTCGTGGTGGCAACTACAGACATGCTTGAAGGATGCCAGGGATGGGTAATTGAATTGCAGGAATCAGATCTTGATATCGAAGTGGTGGTTTTGGAAAGAAACACTGATGGGAAACAAACATCCATCGAGGTAAGTGGTCAAAGTCACCAAAAAAAAGGAGAGAAAGGCAGCAAAAACTGATCCATTGGTAGTTCTTCACTACTCATGCAAATTCCTTGCGACAAGGCAAGCCATCCAACAAGATATATGCTTTCCTCCAACAAAACAACACACGCGAACAAGAACTGAACATGCAGACATGCAAAGTACCATGGATAGGCATACAAGTAAACATTTCCATACCAGGGCGTAGAAAAGCACATGGAACCATAGAAGATGTCGTCTTGGATCTGAAAATCCCCAGCGGTGTCAAAGTTCTGGTCCGATACGACGCAACATATGATCCAAACAGACCATTCTCAATGGAGACCATGGCTTACGAGCAAGTCACGGAACGCAGGTCAGCAGTTGAACATACATTACGATACACTGACACTAACAGACTTCAAGATCAAGGTGGCCTTTATATTCATACCGTCCACTCTGGCCAAACGAAATGTTATATCGTCCACAAGCTGAATTCCTCAAGCAAGAGCGATATATGTTCGAAGGTTATATGCTACTGAGCACAATAAGCAACCCTCCCCAAAGGGAAAGAAGCGCATCTCCAATCTGCAGATGCACACCACCGCTTGAGGGTGAACACCCACCACCATCGATGATTATTACTATGGAAGACGCGGCATGGAATCCGAGAGCAAGCGACGAGGAAGGACTACCGAAGGACCATTGGATATACCAAGAAGCCTTCAGGAACCAGCAACTCGTGGTCAAAGCAGATGGGGTAGAAAAAACCATATGGGCGGAAAATGACGGCGACCAGGTTATCCTGCTATATAAGATCGGACGTGCGACAAAGACGCTAAAGCCGAGAACTTTAGTTCCTTCACACCCAACACCTCGGGATACCAATGTCTTCGTGATTGTACGCGGGGAACACGCCGGCAAAACAGTTCGACCTCGCTGGTTTGACAAACATGCGATGGGTCACAAGTTTCATGTGGCTGTTGTGATACAGAACAAAGGAATGCTGGATAGTCTGACAGGAGAAGAGCTGGACGTAGAATTGAAGGACATGACGAAGATGGCAGAAGCAAAGGAGGCGACAAAATTGAATACAAAACTGAAGAATTCCATAATTGTAACGGTACAAAAGAATAGGTGTCCTCTGAATTAATGTAACACATTGCTTTGATCTAAACCAGAACGTATACCACAAGATGCGTGGTTTTAGAGCCAAGTCTGTTCAGATTAAGCTTGTTCAACGATATACTACGAAGCAAGCCGTTATCCTTCATGCCGTCATACTCGTAAGCTGTGTTTGGTAGAAATATACGGGAACAAAAATGCTCTGCTCCAAAGTAAATAATGAATGCCAATACATAAGCACGCGTCCCACCTTGTACAGGAACTGTAAGTTGAAGGTTAATCGAAGTCCGGGCGGCATACTCAGGCCAGAGCTGAAAAGACATTAAAGGAGGTGGAGACTCGAACATTGCACCATATTGCATATACCCACTGCATCTGTGTGCGGATATAACATGCTCGAAGGCGGACTGGAACCCACTGCCATTCCATGAATGAAATAGTAATAAGACTGTCAACCAATCCTGTATAGAAGCCACAGCCGCGGCAGTCGTTGGTTGTCCCGTTTGCATCCACGCCAACGGACCACATATGCCGACAAAAGATGTCTTCGCATCTGATAAGATAATGTAACATCCTCTGTCACAGCGGACATAGGGAAGTATGTTACACTCAGTATCTCCCCGCATCGTATCAGCTAAATCAGCGACACCTGCCATAGATTTACCAAATCAGCGGAAACTTTGAGGATAACGAGTGAACAAAAGATCACGTATACAATCCTGACCAGAGTCAAGAAGAGCAGAAGTGGTTTTCCCTCCATTAACACCCATAGATCGGAATATCATACCAATCAGACCGGTCACCTCGGTGGAAGCTACCCACGCATCTCGCCAAATGGTGCTCTGAGACCAATACAAGTAGAACAGAGGTGTTAACAGAGAATCGTACGTGCAGGACCAGTTATCGTGATCCCACTTACATCCATATAAGGAATATGACTGCATCGTGTCGTGTTTCTTTTGTTTTTTAGTACTGCCACGGCTTTCACCATCTTCTCTAGCACGCTTCATGGCTTTTTCGTCATATTCAACATCGTAGGGTACAGAAGCCAAATCTTCAATTTCTATTATCTGACCTTCTTTGAACCCGTTTCTGACGAGGGTATTGTGAGCAATGTTCTCAAACTTGCGCATTTCCAGTTTGAGGTCAAGTGGCAATGGTTTATTCAAGTCGGATAATGTCACCTTATCTGCTATAAAAAGACCATTTCTGTTGGTAGTGCGCGACACAGCAACATAAGCTTGATACCCTCCTTCACTGAGATACGTCAAAAGGCCATCAGGCATGGTTTGTCCTTGTGCTACGTGACCGGTGCAAGCAAAACCTGGTTGTACGGGCACTTGTTCACGCGTAACCGTAACAAACTCGGCTTTCCCGGACTCTCTGACCATCTTGTGTTTGAATGTCCAAGACGTGGGCTTTATGGGAAAGTATCCCGTGGGGAGACCGGAGAGTTTGATTTTCGAAGAAGGGAACTCTACAACAATAGCGATAAGATATGTGAAATTGTACGGGTCATTGGCTAATTCAAGATGACGGACATAACCTTGAGCCCCATTTGTTATCTTCAGATCCGTCGAAAGGTTGCGATACCGTAGAATTACTGGCATACCAACATAGAACGGTATTATACCAGGCAAACCCCCCTGATTCATCAAGGCAGATACATCTTGGTTCAGCAGAGCCTGTCGGTATTGCTCAGGAACAATATGACCGTTCACCTTGTCCAAAGCGGCACAATTGAATAGATGAGTTTCAGGCACTTTGCTAATAGCCTTGTAACAATTAATCGCATGACGAAGGAAGTTTGTAGTAACGATAGCCACAGCTTTACTATGTGCAGGTGCACCCATATCTATGCCATGTGGATGCGAGCTAGAACGTATAATGCGTTCATTGAATAGGTTGACATCCTTTTGTGTGCATACTCTTTCACGTAAATGAGAAACGGCCTGACTATATTCTTCATCCGCTTCCATTCTTTTCTGACGGTGCAAGAATATGGCATCTGTGATTGAGTTCCATGCCATACGACCAAGTCATTTGTTAAGATTCTCATGGTCCACCTTCTGATTATGAGTAGCGCACGCATAAACAGGAGAACCTCCAACGGGAGGATATTGATACAGATCACCGCTAAAGATAACCATCATACCACCAAACCACCAATTCAGCTGGTTCTTGCCATAATGGCAGGCGGCGTCGATCTCCGGTAAAAGCTCCTGCTGCAGCATAGAGACTTCATCTATGACAATAACATCGACATCTTTCAGCTGATCTCTGAGCTGATTCTGCCCCTTCATGGTCATTGTCACATACAAAGTGTCTTTCCCGCCAAGGGATTTATTGGTGTGTTTGAACGCTTTATTAGATACGCACAAACCAAAAGCCTTATGCAAGGTCATCCCATTGTTGTTGGAAGCGGCTGAACCAGTGGGAGCCATGAAACGGATAGCGTGAGCAGATCCGAAAGCAGCCATAACTTCAGTAAGAGCCTGAACAACATAGGTTTTCCCCGTACCGCCTGGACCCGTCAAGAACAATCTCAAGGGAAAAGGCTCTACAGCGGAAGGAGTCGAAGAGGGCTGCGAAAACTTTTGCTTCACATATGTGGTAGCCATTAAACGAAAAGCATACTCCTGTTCAGGGTTCAACTTCCATTTTGTGACCGTGGCGTTCATCAGTTCCAGCACAGTTTGCCTCTTCCGAGTGGCATGGGACAAAGTGGCCTTTACACCAACGACAGGAGGCGGTATAAACACAGACAATGAACCTTCATCATGGTCAAGATCATCGGATGATAAATTATTTGTAGTAGATCGAACGGGCAAATTCGAGCTACCATCCGTCTGCTCTTTTACATCACCTGCGTTGAGCCTGGACACCATCACCTGTGCTTCTTGATGTTTAATCTCTGACTGCCAATCGGTCATCATGGCAGGCGTGATCTTGAACCCGTACGGCACTGAAGAGCTGGAGGCAAAACTCGATCCCATGCATGGAACGTCCCATGAAGGCGCGAAAAAATTAGCTTCACCCAAGCGCACGAGTTGCACATGCGCTTTCGAATCACGTGCTTTATCTGCATCGGTCTTACCGGTTAGTTCGACGAGACTGTCTAAATCCTTATGCACAAACATGTTTGTGACCAGCTGCGAACTCCTGGTGAGCAACTGTCGCTTTCGCAAACGCTCAGCATCCCTCTCGTCCTCGCACTCATGCATGGCTTCCCAATTTGACATGCACTGGACTGCTCGTTCACTAAAGCTATAAGTCCTGAAGACTTCTGAAACCGAGTCGGCAGGATGCAACAACGGAACATTGAGATGAAAAGGTTTGAAATGCGTGAGCATAAACAACGCATAGCAAGGATCATTCACTCTAGGTAACTTATGGCCGATAATTCTAGGTACTTTCCTAGTACGATATGGGTATTCGTCAATAGATGTATGCTCCACGATCTCATATGTTTTATGCAACGAATAACCAGAGAGGAGTTCGTAACGAGGAAGTCGGGTTGACCTGGACCCTTGTTCATATTCTCTGAGCGGATCATTAGTACATGCAGTGCGATCGCGCTTACGTTCCACTCTGAACCTTGCAACGAAATCATAAAACGAGACATCAAACAACTCTGGATTGCGGTGCAGGTAATCTTGCACCTGAGACCTCTTTGATAAATTCCCGTCTTCGTCCATGCGAAGGGTAACAAACGCATCCTCCACTTCCTCGTCCCCATCGGTGTCACCAATCTGACAATAAGATTTTGCATGCTCCATTAGGAGACCCGACATCATAGGTACTGTATCATGTGATCGAAATGCCTCCTCTTTGCCTCTAATAACTCTGGCCGCTTGTTGAGCATGGACTTGTTGCTGCTTTGAATATTGCGACAAACACTTGTGGATGACAGTGCGAGCCTGTAAATGTGTATCACTCGTTGACCCAGTGGCATGGGCACGAAGGACAGCATCTGCTAATAAAGTCAACAGCTCGTACATTTTAACGCTCATTTTTGTTATATAATCTGTGATATAAAACATGGCGGATTTACATGACTTTCCTGACAATACAAACCTCAAATCATGATTGAAGCGACCAAACACAAGAATCAACCTATTATGATAGTTGACCCAAACATCGTGACATGCCGGAACAATTGACTTCGATTCGGGATCATAGAAAGAGATGGAAATGTAGTCATGAGGAAATTGAAAATGACAAGTGCTATGATTGTATTTGTAACAAACCGGCTTATGCACATGACACTGAAGATGCTCTCCCACATACTTGACCTCCTGTTCGATCACAGATCAAAAAATGTCCCATTCTTCGGCAGTCGCATCCTCACTAGGTACAACAGGAGGCCTTTCAGTTCTAGGATTACCATCGTGATCGAAGGGAATTCCATCCGGTAGATCGTGTACAATGATATCGTCGAGAAAAGCAAAAAACCGGTCCTGGAAATCCCTAGACTCCTCCAACTTTCTATGCAGTTCAGTAGGATTCATACATCCTTTTAATATCAGCAAGAAATGTCCATGATATGCTCCACGACCGGTCAGCTCGTCCGTACCGTAAAACACTTCCAGGTGACCCAGGATGCCTCCTGCTTCTGTGGACATGCGCATGTCAAAATCCCACCCAAACATATATTGGAATAGACATCGCACCACGAAATCAAAGAAGTCCATTCCAGCCACCAGATCTTGGGCAAGACGCAATCCTCGCTGAGCATATTCTGCAATCTGAGGATATCGTTCATCCAAATTAACAGTCTTGTCACCCCACATAAACTGAAATATGGGACTATGCGCAGGAGCAGGGTTTGCAGTGAAAAAAAGGTGAAACAGTCCAAAATGGCCTGTGTACGCCCTCATCTCATTTCGATAAAGTACCTTAGACGCCTCAGAACCTGTGATCTTACCAGCTATGGCTTTTACCTGATCAAGGAGTGTAAACACCTTCTGGTGCTCTGACGAAAGATCTTGCATATGGCCCTCGTGCTCCAAATGATTAGCAACCGCTCTTATCGTATCAGGTTTAATCGATGTGATATCATCCGCTACATGATCGAATCTATCTGATTTCACAGCGAAATGAGTGAAAAGATGAGCCTGTCTATGCTGAATCATATTCATGGCCACGAAGATGAATGCGTTGTGATGTCTAAAATCTCTACATACAGTATCCAAGTAATAATTACACTGAGAGTGAAAAGACAAATATGTTGGCCGTTCAGGGTCTTCAAACCCGCCGATCCCAAGCGGAAAAAGAGTAGGGAACATACCCATCATTAGATCAGGGTTATTATACTCATTGATAGGTTCGTCACCACGAAATATTATCATATCAGGCTTCTTATTAGATTTAACCAAGTTGTTAAGGGCTGAAGCCATGAACGTCCCCCCATGAATCTTCACAGACTCTACGTCGGACACTCCCATACGGTCGAGCAAACACATATTTTCGTCGGCATCGTTCAATTCAACATCCTTCATCGCGTCAGATACATAGTGAGGTTCAAGACCAGCAGTCTCCTCCTCAAAGAGGTCCGCTTGAGACGTATGATGTTCAAAATGGAAGGCGTATTCTTCGAGACCAGGGATGATATCGTCGACACCATCTAATCGTCCGTACAATTCCATCTGCTCTATACTCAGTTCAATGTCATGATACAATCAATTGTGCTTACAGAGATATCACAACAAGTGCCAAACCTTTTTCTTCCGAATATAAAACAGCGTCTTCAAACAGGACTTTATGGATTGACGCGGACCTACGAAAATCACGCTAAGCATATCCTTTATATCGGACGGTGTTCTGGGCAACACGCTCACAGTGGAAACCAAATTAACGTCGTGAGCACAAGTGTTACCATAGAATACTCGAGGCTGCGCCGGATCAGGAGAACCGTAAAGACGAGAAACATAAGCAGTACATCGATATATCAAACAAACCATCTCCTCCACCCATGTGATGTCCTTAAAGTAGGCAGGTAAGGCTCCACAGAACAGCTGATTCCTGATCGCATATTTGGGTAGACGCCCATCCTTCAGCTGATTCTCACAATAAACACACACATTAAACAGACCATCGATGCAACCAGACGGTTCCACCATGCAGCCACGTAACACGGGATGCTCGACACATTCAGGTCGATGTTCAGCATCATTGACTGCCAATAGATCCAAATGGAACTTCTCAGCGAAAGTCTCATTCACTCCTGCGAACGGATAACGCTTAACAGTTAAAGGCTCGCCCTTAACAAGATCCCTAGAACATACCGCACATGGAAAGGTGTCAGGCCAACACGTTTTCTCTCTAAAATCTCGAATACATCTGTTCTTGACATCCTGGGGCATGGGCAAAGGCCAACTCTCTTTTATATTGTGAAAGTGTGCTGCCAAATTATCAGTCTCCATGTTACGCCGTTCTGCCATCATATTTTGACGTCTTTCACAGTGACTGCGGACATGCATTGGAGGAAGTAATACGCAACATAACTGAACACCGTACTCTACCTCCAGAAGATCAAACAAGGCGGTTTGCGACTGAAGGTCCACAGAAGCTACGTAGTGATTAAGCATGTCGGCTATAAGGTATCCAGAGGTTGTGATACCGTCGTCCCATCTTTTCTGAAGGCTGTCTACCAAGAAATCTATATAATCATCTCTTGAAATCTTGCGCCGACGGAGACACCTAGTGAAATGAAGCGAGTCGTTGATAGCCTTTAACGTGGTATTGGTTATACGTGGTAATCGAATCCCTTTCTTTTTCACGAACGATGAGAAGTCCAACTCGAGATCACAGAAGAGATCATTCGGCTCACAAGTGTCAGGAGCGTACGACTGCAAGCCCTGATGCCAACGGATAATACCTGGGAACACACTATCACCAAACCGTATATGGAATAGTTCGAACACTGAAAACCGACGCCAATCACTTCTAGCAGAGGCACCAGCCAGCTGACTATGGAGGTCAAAAACGGCGGAATCAGGCATGACAGACACTTCAGAAGCGTACGCCATGAAAGAGGCAATTACCGTCTTAATCACCGAACTGCGTTTTTGTTCTGTTCGAGGTACGGGAACAACACTAACCATCTCCTCAACCGTAGAACAATCCAGAGAGCCAGACAAATGGTGCTCGTTGGCATATATCCAAGAGGGATTGGTCTGTTCCCCAACAAACATTTTCTGGTCATAAGTCCAAGGATAGAATGTCAATGCCTCAATCTCGGATCTAGGAAGTTGAATACGTTGATCCAGAGCAAGGCTTTCCACAATGAACACATCACAACGATCATGACATCTCACTGTAAATGTCCGACCATGAATGGGTATGCATTCTCGGAACATCAGACACAACCATAGGCAAACACTAGTAGGTGTAGCAAAATGTGCACGCTGACTTGGGATTTTTGGTTCATATAAGGACTGTATTTTATCATTATATCCTACATACATAGTATCACAGGGTAATTTATCAAAAACAAACGGATGCATGACGCTACGATAGGTAAACGAATAAAGCAGAGCTGTAGCCTGAGGCTGATATGGATAAACCGCAGAGCGGGGCTGTGGAACAGACAGAAGTTGATGCAGGGCGTCCGCAGAGTGTAAAAAACGAGCAGCAATAGGGACTGCAAGAGAAGCACAGACCCATAAAACGAAAAGATGATGAGGGAGAAGGGGAAAAAGCGCGTCTGCCAGCGAATCGCTTTATAAGCACGCCATCAACAGTTTTCCGACGAGATCGGGATATAAAAAACCAATAGGGAGAAGTCGGAAAGACAGAGCTTTTCAGCCACAGCGGCAATCAATTTCAGCCACCCGGCATGCCAGCCGTAGCGTGCCGCATGCTTGCCAATCACCGCAAATTAGCTAAGCCAACCCGGAGTATAGCCCCTGTCCAGACAGTTTGGCACTACTCACGACCAGTTACGGCTTTCTATAACCCTCTGTCGTTTCCTCATTCTTCGGAAAGAATCGGGGATACAAGCCGTGGATATGGATATCATGGTCACGATGGTAGCCACAGAGGCCTCGAGGATGTGCTAGGGACGGCTGCATTTCAGAGAAGGCTCTCAAGTCATGTTGACATGACATACCCTCTGCCTTGGCTGCGAGTACAGGATACAAAGTCGATTGACGATAATCAGCATCAGGCATTGGACCTGATTTTAAGGTTTAGAGGAACGCCAAGCATTAATAAAAACAACCGTCCCCTATTCTTATATGGACCTTCTCGGATTCGAACCGAGAGAGGTTTGACACGTCTTTGGGACTCAGGTGGCTCATAATCTACAGAACGTCCGAGTTGTGCCAGTGGTTAGCGCCCTTCCTGCAACACGATACGACGCGGTTCCTGCCTCGAGCCATATCTCCGGAGGCATGTTTAGAAGCCTTCGAGCATCCCAACGTGAAGACGACGCGCTATCGAGGTGACGGGTGGTAGTCGTAGTGGTATTTTGCCTCAGTTTGCCTCAGTGGAACAGTCGCTATTATACGCGAAGGCACCCATCGTAAGTGAAACGGACTGTACTCTTTTGTGGATTTGTTACGCAGCGGTGTTTTTCAAACAGTTGTTTTGAGCCATTGCTTTGTGAGGGATAGGTAACAGGCTGCGGTGCACCCGAGAAAGTCTAGTATTTGTCCAACAAACTGGGTGTCTGGGAATGATGTTTGCATTTCCCGGATTGTCGCAGACAAATGATGGCCGAGAGTCAAGCCGCGGTCCCGTCCTTCGGCCAATTGAACATAACGGTCGTCCCAGGAAGATTTTACCGCTACGCAGACTCAGAGATGAAAGATACGACTTGCATCATGACGCACACTAACGAGCGTGCCACGCGAATTTCGAGTTGGGCGCTTTCGGCGAAGCGTAGCCGCATACGGCTGTCACTCATTTAGAACTCCATACGGCCCATAAGACGTTTCATATGACACTTACACATGTACGTCTGGTTTACAACCCGGTACAGCTCTGAAACACAATTAGACTTAATATGTAGAGGCGACTATTGTTCTCGAGGTTACCTTGAGCGACCGGTAAGTTGTCAGTAAAACGTTCGTTGTATTCAGGCCCCAGTCTAGAAATTTCTACCCACGAAAAAAAAAAGAAAAAAAGACACTGAGGATCGAACTCCGAGCCTCCTCTGCAACACAAAGAACAGATTTTTCCAAGAATGAAGCTTCAGGCAGCAGACTTGGAGATTTAAGCTTTCAAGATCCAAGGACCAACATTCAAGATGACCACGAGACGTAAGAAATTAAGCATGTCGCATGCTTATAACTTGATACTTATGCCTTTATCTTTTCCTAGTTTACTTCTTCTTTTTGTGTTTTCCTTTTATTTGTGTTCAGCAACGAGTCGACGGGGTCTTTGATAGTAATTTGCTATTGTTTACCCGAGCTTGTATATAGCGGAGTCGACCAATACAACAGTCTTACAGTCTTACGCCAATACAAAAAAACAGAATCGATTATGAAACATATAGGGACCCTCTCGGATTTGAACCGAGATCATAAATCACAATTATGTGGTGTTACGATTGCGCCAAAGGGCCTATATTTGAATGTGGTAAAACATGATATAAATAGCAAGACTTGTAGGTTTCACAAAATGAAACTCCCTCGACACCCTGACCACCCGACTAAGTATTTGGGAAAAGACGTCCGAAATTCTTCAGGAGCAACATCGGACAACGCATGAAAAGGCACTATAGTCAATTATGTCGTCTGTCATACAAATCTACTCCTTAACCAAGAAAGCCTCTAACTTGTGCCGTGCTTCCACATACGAAATAAATCTACGAATAATCCCAAGTACTACAGAAGTGGACGCTCTCGAGCCTCTGAACCAAATTGATTCATACTAGAACCGTTCTGCCCGGTGGATAAAAACACATATGCTTCATTGCGGACGTGGACCTCCCGGATTCGAACCGAGATGGAGATGTCGTAGTAACGATTAGACCAAAGAATCCCTTCCAGTTGCTGGGTCAATGCAGTACTTATAGCACGGCTCTTGTCACGCAGAGTCCGTAATAAATCGACCGAAGATGTTGAGCCAATGGCATGGCCGGCGTTGATAGGCGCAACGGTGAAAAGCAAGAAAAAAAAACCATGTTCTTCAGAAGGTTTTTGTGTATTGATAGTCAGGAGGCATTATTTCCGAATCGGACTCAAAGTACATGACTATATGCGCGCGTGCAGCGATGTCAGAAACGAGTGTGGATATTCAAAAGGAGAGGAGCAAAAGTGGTTCAAAAATTACAACGCAATGATACACCCCAACACCGCGGCCAAGGCTCCAGCGATACCCATATCGGCGGCTGAACGAGCAGCGGCATTGAAGGATTGTGGAATGAACGTGCTTGAAGTCGAAGGAGAGGAAGAGGTAACAGACGAGGTGCTGCTGCCGGTAATAGTATTGGAGTGGGTGACGCCAAAGCTGGTGCTCGACGAACTGCGAGTCCTGGAGGGAGGTAAATGAGAGAAAGGAAGAGATAATGTCGGAAGACTTACGTAGAGGTTGTCGTGCTAGCACTCGTACTCGTAGTCGATCCCGACGCGTCTATCGAGCCCGTACCAGTCGTCGTCGACGAAGCATCCACGACCGTAAACTGTCCCGACTCGGCATATACGTCGTTAATATTCCCCGGGTTCACCAACTGGAGCGTGAATCCAGCCCTACGGCATTCCCGTCAGCATCACAAGCCCTCGCTGAGCTACAAGATCACTTACCCAGGCAAGACCGCAGGCAACAGGACCGTCAACTCCGAACCTCCATACCCCGAATTTACATTGTTCGCGATAGCATACTGACGATTGAAGGCAGCGTTGATGAGCTCCACGGTGAATAGTGCTTCGTCGACGTACGCGGCGTTCCACTTGATGGTGAGATTCGCGGCAGAGACGACTGGTTGGTCAGGGGTAGAGATGGTCAGGGCGAGAGCGACAGCAGGGAGGAGGAGAAGGATGGAGAGCATTGTTGGTGGGGAAAGGAGGAAGGAAGAAAGGAAGAAATAAGCGAGCAAGTGACAGCCTCCTTCGACGGTTAGCCACGTGAGGCGCAAGAAATCGGGCCTAGAGATCTGAAACAAGAGGGGTTCGCCAGCATCTTGGTCCTGATAGAACGCGTCTGGATAGAGTCCATACCAAGTACTTACTAGCCTTTGCTTAGGATAATCCATGTGCGCAAGGGGCGATAGCGGTCGACTCGAGGAAAATGAAGCTTTCTGAAAGTTCCGGGAGAGCCTTTGATCCAGGGCCAAGCCCTTCCAAGCCCGGGTATTGCCAGCTGAAGAGAACAACCAGAGTCTCCGGAAAAGGGGAGAGTCCTATATTTACTCATATAGAGTAAAAGCGCAAGACACTGAGACCGGGTCAGAAAAGTAGCAAGCTAGGTAAGAGATGATGAGGACTGCGCAAAGGAGTTCAAAACCAGATTTGGACTGATCGGAGATTGAATGGTATGATGGCCTTTCCCGGCACAGGTACTGCTCCGACATCGCCGAAAAAGTGGGTTTTGACGCAGATCAAACCCCTCTCTTCCTGCCCCCACAATGGTGTTGTCCGGAAATTAGTTTATATGAGAAACTGGGATTCTGCCGAGCTGCCTTCTGGACGAGTCGCACACAGCGAACCTCAATTCCCGCTGGAAAGTGCACCTAATAGTTATAAAAAGGGAACCAGAAAACGAGAGGAGTCCTAAAATTAATCCGACCAGTACTCTGGTTACATGTTGGCGGAACCTCCCTCCTCGCTCTCGCATTATTTCGAACAGCTATAAATCGGTGGTTATACGGTAACACGTCCCGGTTCGCAAGGGATAGCATCGAGCTCTCTACTGGTTACTCGTGCATCAACCGCCACAGCACTCGCCTTGCCATGTGAAGGCTATGGACCCGGCCGCTCCTACTTGGGACCTTGCGCTCACTCCATACCACTCGACCTAGAGCTTGAGCTTGATGCTGTAGTGTTATGTCTTCGATTTCTTGGTCGGCGCTAGCCACTAGCTGGAACTTGACGTAGATAGCACTCAATTGAAGGCAAAATGACCATACAGTCTCCACTTGGGACACCATTTCATGCGTCACCATCAACCATTTTATGCGCTGCCTGCATATTGGGCTCTAATCCTTTGATATGGACATCGTGGCGGAGAACGCAAGGTCCGGTACGGAGACGCTTTTATACCAAGTGTTGACGGGCCAAGATTCTCCCAATCATCCCATCCATTCACGATGTCCGCGCGAGTTTCATCAACAATCACCATTCCAATTCCACATCCAGGAGAACCCAGTTCCATCTCCGGTATTTTGGAACAGTTGGACTCGTCAGGAAAGCCGCTGCATGGAAGGAAACTCGCATTGGTTCGTTACATTGTTTTCCGACGATATTAAGTACTTACTGTTCGATTCTTCGTAGATTCTTCATGGCATGTTCGGGTATGTCCTTCTGTTGTATAGCGCATTCAAGTTACGGGTCTGTACTAACCTATCTTGCTAGCCACAAGGATTATCTCTTTCTGAAACGACTCGCTCTGACGCTCCCCATGGACTCGTTTCGCTTTGATTTCCGGTATTTAGCCTTTTTTTAGCATGTCTTGATTATCAACTCTTCTACCCAGAGGGCGCTTCGAATCACCTGGCATACGGCGACTACGTAAGTTGGAAGAGGACGCTCAAGACCTCCGTGTCGTCGCAGAATACCTCAAGTCCCACTTCGGGTACGAGATTGATTTGGTGATTGGCCACTTGCGCGGTGCAATACTCGCTGTCCAGTGGCTATGTACGACAGAATGTGGAAAAAATGTTTCAGGATTCGTGAATGTATCCGGGATTCTTCGTATGCAGGTGAGCACTTCCGAGCCATCTTCATCTTCAACCGAACATATACCGGTCTTTTTTACTAGGATGCCTATGGTGCGTGGATTTCTGTCGACTCTCTACCTGGCTTATGAATCAAGGAATATTTCCAATGAAGGCCTCGACGAAGGCGAATGGATGAAAAACATCTCCACTCAAGGGTATCACCTCGTGAACCTCAAGTCCTTCAAAGCAAAGGTGTATCGTGAAGACTTTGATAACTACGCCAACTTTGACCTCTCCATGTCAATGGTCCAGGATAAATTTCCCCGGGCTACTGACGTTCTGACTATTCATGGACTTGCGGACAAGACCTCAGCGGTGTAAGTATTTCCACCCTTGAGTCGTTCAAAGAGCTTCGTTGAAGATAATTCAGGTACAATGCGTTGTTATATGCGAAAACGCTGAGCAAGCGAAACCCCGGGACGCATTCCTTACATCTTATGGAACATGCAGATCACTTTTATACCGGGCGACATACGGAGGTTGTACAGACCATCTTGGATTGGTGGGATGCTCACTTAAAAGGAACGCTCCAGACGGGAATTTGGGCAGGAGCGGAATCTGGAGATACGTCGTGTAAGTTATGATAAGGGACATTTAGTAACAGCCGCAGATAGATACTGTTGAAAAACGTTCGGGATTCTTTATCACGGTTTTTAGAGCATGGAATGTCTTGTGGACGACTGAAAGAGCCTTTGTTCCACAAAGTGACAAGGAAGCCGCTTCCGAGATTGATATCCCGTCTAATAGTAAATATGCCGCTCCTCGACTATGGTAACAGTAAAATTGAAATTTAAGTATACGGTACCGACGTCCAGTTAACGACGCAGCTTATGCCCGTTTCTAAAATAGGTTTGCCAAAACAACCCAATCAAATGCTATAGTAGAACCCCGGAATCGAACCAAGATCATGATAAGCTCGCCTTTGCGGCTGCACCAAAGCGTCACATCTCTCTTTGCGTCTTTCCGTCTATTACCTACCAGGAGTGCACTTGCACGAGGATGCACCTACGTCTGATGAGACATTTAAATAAAGAGACCCAAGGAGAAAACTAAAAAGAAAAACTACAATTCGCTCACCATTCAGACGGCTCTCGCACAGGGTGCTATGCACTTGTTCAATTGCATCCGCTTAGCCCTGATGGAAAAAAAAAAAAAACAACTCACTATCCGAATAGACTCCCTTGGATTCGAACCGACTGAACCGTGCACTGGAAGTTGCCACTTAGCTAGGAAGTCTGTCGTGTCTTGGTGATTTTCCGGCTCACTAATCATATACGATTAAATGTTCTAAGCCTCATGGGAGGGGTCCGCTCAAAAGAGGAGGATTTCGGGCAGCAGCCCTAATCGACGATGACATGGCGGAACCAGGGAGGGGTTTCGCTGGGGGTATTACCATTTGAAATGAAAGTCAGGTCAATACGGTGTTTACGGCGAAATAATCGGCTGTCTTGTGCCTACACAGGGTGCACATTATGATTTCAGATCTTCGGTAATCGAGCCACAAATTGACCACAAAAACGACTATTTGGATGAAACAGTAGCTCGAGGGCTGGAAAGGGGATAAAGACTATCCAACTCGGTCTACAGTCTAATTCCCGCACGTCGAAACATGAAACTCATGAGTGTTGTTGTTCGGTGAGTTCGGACCGGTCGGAAGCGGTAGATACATGCATATCTACTATACAACAGGTGGATGTCGGAACCTGCTTCCGTCCCCGCTCTCATTGGCTACACAACTCACGCTTCTCATTGGCTCTTCCATTTTTAGGCCCGATTTCCATCATGTGTTCGTTCTTCTTCCTGTCTTCCTCCTGGGGGTCTCTTCCCTCATGTATTATGGCCACTACTTTGAAGGATGCTTGGTATTGATGTCGACCTGATTTTTTTTGGATTTTTTTCGTTGTAATTGTTGATAGGGATGTGCACCGTACCGTTACGGATACGGCCGTAACAATACGGCCGTAGACCGTATCAAAATTCTTGTTCACGGTACGGTACGGTTGACTTCAAATCCGTACCGTGTCCGTACCGTTGTCCGCATACGGACAGTTTTACAGCGACGACGAATATCTGGAGTCAAGACATGAGTGTTATATACTTCATTAAGATCATCCATACTCACTTCAATGGTATTAGACTATCCCTAGCCACTCCCTCGATGACCGTATTTTAACCGTATGAATACGGCCGTATTTTGGGTCATCGAAGGTGGCCACGGTACGGGCCCGTATCCGTATCCACCGTACGTACCCACCGTAGTACGGATACGGTGCACATCCCTAATTGTTGAGTACTATTCCTGAATCCTGTTTTAACTTCACTCAAATTTGGTGCCATTATTTTGTGTTTTTCCCTTCTCATTGAAACTGGCATATTTTCTGAAGAAATTACATTCAATGCTACTGTTAAAGTTATCTAGACAATGTGATGTGCTTGCTGACATGAACTCCAGAAGACAGATACCAAATTATCAGAGGAGCAATCAACATTGTAGCATGATTCTTGAATGAAGCCTAATCATAGTTGATGTTCAACCTTTTCAGAGTAAATCCTGTTAACAAGGAGTCAAATTGTATGGCATGGACAGAGACCTTGGGAGAGTGTGAGGTATGTCTTATGCTCCATCCACTGTCGCTGTGTTGTTCAAGTTGTATTTCAGAGAATGCTGTGGGGATTCACCATCACTGCGGCCACTTCAATACTCAAGAGGTTGATCAGGATGACTCCATGCTCACTTATCCTGAAGGTAGTCATATGAATTGAAATGGTAGGAATTCTTACTTTTATATTATACAGTGTTATCGAGTCGCAACATCATTAGACACCTCTAGAATTGTACCAATGCATCTACAGGCTTGGTATGATAACCTTCCTCTCAGTCGTTGTCAGTAAGTTGGTCCATGGCCCGGCCCACGACCTCAGTAGGATGATATATATGTCCTTTCCCTCATGCCGGTAGAACAGCTGACCAAATAACCGAAGGCAGCATCGTCTTCAGAGTGGTGAATTTTGCCATCTTTCATGTTCAGGCTACCGACAGTCCCACTCTTATGCTTCTATGTGACTTCCTCCTCAAATCATCCTTCCACCACCAATAAAATCGCGGTAGACAACGACTTTGAAACACATTGAAAAGAAAAATAACAGTGACTGAGGCAGTAGCAACCTGAAGGAGTTAGGCTGGTTGTCATATCAAGACCTAATGTGGTACTACACAATCGAACCACGTACAATTGAATGTACAAATTTTATGACTAAAAATATGGTATACCACATGCTTCGCAACGTATCTTACCCAGTCAATCCAATGTTTCACGGGTTCCCGCTAGTCTATACAATGCCACATCATCATATACATTGCGACCGCGTGCTCACGTCTCCAAGGACTTATGTCTGCGCCCAGTTATTGACCATCTGGTGTTTGATCTGAGATCTGAGGCCTGATAAATCATGAGAGTTTGATACTCATCTACTGGAGGCCAGGGTTCCGGCGTCTCAACCTGCCTGTTTCTGGCAACAGTTTTACACCCTTATGATGATGCTTCCTCTGCGTGCCTAAAGGTACAGCCGCCCACCTTCATCATTGATCAATGAAATGGCTTCTTATACTGGGTGTCGGTAGACCCTTCTCACCACTATCACACCTACTGGCACGATGTCTAATCGAGTTTCATCAAAAGTCTCCATTCCCTACAGACTCGGAGGAGAACCCAACACTATCTCTGGTATTTTGGAACAGTTAGAGCCAGGAAAGTCAACGCGTGGAAGGAAGCTCGCATTGGTTCGTTACATGGGTTTTCGACAGGACTCGCTACTCATTCAGTGATCAAATTTGACCTGTAGATTCTTCATGGTATCTTTGGGTATGCCTTTCTGTCGTGAGGCACATCATGGTACTTTACCAAACTATCTTACTAGCCACAAGGACTATCTATTTCTGAAACGACTCGCCGTAACGCTCCCCATGGACTCGTTTCGCTTTGATTTCCGGTATTTATCTATCTCGGCATGCCTTGATATAATGTCGGCTCATTCTACCCAGAGGGCGCTTCGAATCACCCGGCATATGGCGACTACGCAAGTTGGAAGAAGACGTTCAAGAACTCTGCGCCGTTGCAGAATATCTCAAGTCCCGTTATGGATACGAAATAGATTTGGTGATTGGCCACTCGCGTGGTGCGGTTATCGCGGTTCGGTGGATATGTACGACGGAAGATGGAAAAAACATTTCGGGATTCGTGAACATATCTGGGACCCTTCGTATGCAGGTGAACATTTCACCATCCTCATCTTCCAGCAAGGGTATGCTACCGGTCTTGACACCTTTTTGATAGGATGTCTATGGTATGGTCGTCTTTGTCTTTGCTCGAGGCTGGCTTATGAATCAAGGAATATTTCAAATGAAGACCTCGACGAAGGCAGATGGATGAAAAACATCTCCACTCAAGGGTATCACATTGTGAATCTCAAGTCCTTTCAGGCGAAGGTGTACCGTGAAGACTTTGATAACAGCGCCCACTTTGATGTCTCGATGGTCCAGGCCAAATTTTCTCAGGCTACCGACGTTTTGACTATTCATGGACTTGCGGACAAGCACACACCGGCGTGAGTATTTCCACCCTTGAGTCATTCAAATAACATTCGTTGACGATATTTCAGGTACAACGCTGTGTTGTACGCGAGAGTCCTGAGCAAGCGAAGTCCCGGGACGTATGCCTTGCATCTCATGGAACATGCCGATCACCTTTATACCGGGCGACATGCGGAGGTTGTACAAACCATCTTGGATTGGTGGGATGCTCACTTGAAAGGAACGCTCCGGTCGGGAATTTGGGCAGGAGCAGAATCTGGAAATATGTCGTGTAAGCTGTGATGAGAGACGTTTAGTAACAGCTGCAGATAGATACTGTTGAAAAACGTTTGAAAATCTTTATCACGGTCATTAAAGCATGGAATGTCTTGCGGACAGCTGAAAGAGCCTTTGTTCCACAAATTGACAAGGAACCGCTTCCGAGATGGATATCCCCTCTAATAGTAAATATGCCACTCTTAGACTATGGTAGCAGAAAAATTAAAATTTGAGTATATGGTATCAGGGTCCAGTTAACGACGCAGCTTACGCCCGTTTCTAAAATAGGTTTGCCAAAGCCAAGAAATCCAATGCTATAGTAGACCCCTGGAATCGAACCAAGATCGTGATAACCTCGCCTTTGCGGTTGCACCAGAGTGTCACATCTCTTTTTCCATTTCTTCCTCTATTACACACGAGGAGTGCGCTTGCACGAGGATGCATCTACGTTAGATGGGATATTTAAATCAAGAAACCCAAGGAGAAACCATGCTCACCATTCAGATAGCTCTCGCACAGGGTACTATGCGCTTCTTCAAGTGCATCCATTTATCTCCGATGAAAAAGATGAAATCGCACCAGAATAGACACACTCCGATTCGAACTGACTACTACCATGCGCGGCTACCGCTCCACCAGAAAGTCTGTCATTGTCATGTCTTCATTCGGATTTTGACTTGGCATTGGGCAGATGCCATACTCGTTACAGAAAGCACCCACGCAAATAGGATACCTTGACCCATAGGATAGCTAAATTAAACGCTCGAGTGAGTTGAAGCAAGGCAACTTAAGACAAGGAGTGTCGAAGGATTTGTTGGTGCGAATCTAGACATATTGTTATCTGTTCACAAAAGAAGGCTCTCATCAGGGACCTATGCTTGCTTGGGGAGAAAAAAAACTTTTCTCAACGATACATCAACGTTCAAATGGATTCCCTCGGATTCGAACCGACGTATACATGCCGTAATGACCAACTCGCCCAGAAAGGCCAGTACAACTCCACGATACTAAACCCTTGAGTACTTATCGCGTCTGTCGATCCCGTACCAGTCGTCGACGTCGACGTAGCATCCACAACCGTAAACTGTCCCGACTGGGCATATAGGTCGTTGATGTTCCCTGGGTTCACCGACTGGAGCATGGAGCGCTTCCGTCAGGTTTGTGTTGCCCTCCATGGTGGTGGGTAAAATCACTCACCCAGGCAAAAACTCTTAGTCTCCATAGCCCGAATTCACATTGTTCGCGATGGCATAAGTACTTGGAACGCGGGTATGGCAGAGCCTCGGACAACAACTTGAAGAGTCCGTGAAAGGGGAAGGTCCGTATTTACTCATGTAGAGTAAAAGTACAGGACGTTGAGACCGAGAGAAAAATTAGGAAGTTGGGAAGAGATGGGGACTGCGCAGAGATAGATAGATAACCGCAGAGGAGTTCAAAACCTGATTTGGATTGATCAGAGATTTACCCGGACGTCATAGGGCACTGCTCCGATATCGCCCGAAGTAATCGGTTCATGACTTTTTATAGCGCAGATCAAACCTTTCTCCGACCCCCCACAATGGCGTGTTCGAAAATTAGCTTATCTAAGAGGCTGTCACTCTTCCGAGCTCCCTTCCGGAAGATCGCACACCTAGTCTCAATTCCTGCTAGAAAACGCGCCTAACTGTTAAAAAAGGGAACTAGAAAACGACTGTCATTCGGGTGGTCATACGAGGACACGTCTCGGTTCGCGAGCGGTAGCATCGGGCTCTGCACTGGGTACTCATACATCAATCGTCTTGCCATGTGAGGACTGTGGACCCGATTAGGACCTTACGCCGGTACCCACTCCACTCTATTCCATCCGACCTCATGCTTGAGCTTGACGCCACAGTCTTATACTGGCTAGTATCTCCGAATCCTTGGTCGGCACTAGTCACTAGCTGGAACTTGATGCGTACAGCAGTCAATTGAAGGCAAATGATCATACAGTGGAGAGAAATGACACGGAAAAGTGGCATCGCGAACGATACGTCTAGAAAACGAACCATTACCTGGAGCTTGACTTGAGGTGAGAGAACGGTGGACGACAGTGACACATTACCCCTAGTTGTCCTGCATTAAGAATTCGAATTACTGCTACAGTCTCTACTTCGGACACTCTTCATGCATCAACGTCGACCATTTTATGCACTGCCTGCATATTGGGCTCTGATCTTCCAATATAGGTATAGTGGCGCCAAACGCAAGGTCCGGTGCGGGGGGCTTCTTACACCAAGTATCAACGGGCCAAGCTTCTCTCATCCATCCCACTGTCCACCCACGATGTCTGCGCGATTTTCGTCCAAAGTCACCATTCCAATTCCACACCCAGTAGAACCAGGTTCCATCTCTGGTATTTTGGAACAGTCGGACTCGCCAGGGACTCGGAAGTTGCTACACGGAAGGAAACTCGCATTGGTTCGTTACATGATTTTCCGACGATATTAAGTACTTACTGTTCAACTCTTCGTAGATTCTTCATGGAATGTTCGGGTATGTCCTTCTGATGTATAGCACAATCAAGTTGTGGGACTATACGAACCTATCTTCCCAGCCACAAAGACTATCTCTTTCTGAAACAGCTTGCTCTAACGCTTCCCATGGACTCATTTCGCTTTGATTTCCGGTATTTAGCCTTTTTTTAGCATGTCTTGATTATCAACTCTTCTACCCGGAGGGCGCTTCGAATCGCCTGGCATATGGCGACTACGTAAGTTAGAAGAGGACTCTCAAGACCTCCGTGTCGTCGCAGAATACCTCAAGTCCCGCTTAGGGTACGAGATTGATTTGGTGATTGGCCACTCGCGTGGCGCAATACTCGCTGTCCAGTGGCTATGTACGACAGAATATGTAAAAAATGTTTCAGGATTCGTGAATATATCTGGGGGTCTTCGTATGCAGGTGAGCACTTCCCAGCCATCTTCATCTTCAGACAAACGTATACCAGTCTTTTCTACTAGGATGCCTACGGTGCGCGGATTTCTGTCGACTCTCCAGCCTACTTATGAATACGTGAACATTTGAACGAAGAATTTAATGAAGGCACATGGATGAGAAACGTCTCCGCTCAAGGATATCACCTCGTGGACCTCAAGTCCTTCAAGGCAAAGGTGTATCATGAAGACTTTGATAACTATGCCAACTTTGACCTCTCCATGTCAATGGTCCAGGATAAATTTCCCCGGGCTACTGACGTTCTGACTATTCATGGGCTTGCGGACAAGACTGCAGCAGTGTAAGCATTTCCACTCTTGAGTCGTTCAAAGATCTCTGTTGAAGATACTTCAGGTACAATGCATTGTTATATGCGAAAACGCTGAGCAAGCGAAACCCCGGGACGCATTCTTTGCATCTTATGGAGCATGCAGACCATATTTATACTGGGCGACATGCAGAGGTTATACAGACCATCTTGGGTTGGTGGGATGCTCACTTGAAAGGAACGCTCCAGTCGGGAATTTGGGCGGGGCCAGAATCTGGAGATATACCTTGTAAGCTATGATGAAAGAAGTTGATTAACAGCCGCAGATAGATACTATTGACATATTCTTGGGATCCTTATCCAAATATGATTACGGCTCGACAGCCTTGTGGAGGAGGACTGAAACTATTATTCAGTAAGCCACATATTTACCATTTGAAAAGGAGGGTGCGTTACGATACTTTCCTAGTCAAATATGTTGCTCTTAGAGTAGGTAAAACTGCAGCAGATGACGGTGGCAGGAAATTCAGCATCCAGCAAGAGCCCAGTTAAGTTGCAGACATTTAATATAAAATAGGCATCCTGAAAAAGGTCGGTACTGCGGTATTGTAGACTCTCAGATTCGAACCAAAATCGTAAGCTCGTGTTTTCGATTGAACCAAAGCTTCACACCTGTCTTTCTCTATTGTACACCGAGAATACACTTGCAAGAAGATGCACCTATGTCCGATGGGAAATTTAAATCAAGGAACCCAAGAAGAAACCACGGTCACCATTCAGGAATCAGAATCAGACAGTTCTCGCACAAGATGCGGTGTGCTCGTACAAGTCATCCACTTAGCTCTGATGAAAAAGATAAACTCACACCGTAATAGGCGCCATCGGATTCGAACCGACCAACCCACGCGCGGTTACCACTTCACCAGAGAGTCTGTCTTTGTCATGTCTTCATTAGGATTTTGACCCGGCATTGAGCAGATGCAATTATCCTACTAGTAAGCCTCACAGGAAGCGCGCGCAAAAGAGGAGGACACGGATGCTCTAATCCATACGATAGGACAGGATAATGGGATTAAATGCTCAGGTGAGTTGAAACAAGTCAACTTAGACAACAAAATTTTTGCTGGTACGAGTATAGATGTATTGGTATCCGTTCACAAAAAGAATGCTCTCGTTAAAGGGTCCAAAACATGAATCCATTATGCTTGGTTGGGGAGAAGAAGATCTCGTGTCATCCGCTGTTAAATGGATTCCTTCGGATTCGAACTGACAGAACCATACGTATACATGCCATAATTACTGACTCACCCAGAAAGCCCGCTGCGGGTCCCCGATGCTAGATCCTCGAAGTACTCATCGCGCCATGGTGCCCCACTAGGCTCTAAATGGGTGTTCTCACTTCAATCCCATATTTGACCTGGCTCTAATAGTGACCTCCACGTTGAGGAATTGATATTGGCACTGGGCCGGGATCAGCGCTTGGGATAAAGTCTAAGTACCCAAGTTACGTATTAGCTACCAATCAGAAGCATAGGAAGGAATCTGGTTGGACCCCAAATTCCAAAATTGGTACCGCCTCATTCAGCTCTCCAGTCTCCCGACTTGTCAGCTCAAAAGTCCTCAGCCTCTTCATGGCTATCTCCCCACTTCGTCTGGGTTGGAAATCCAGCCTAATCAAACTCTTTTACAATATCCTTGTTGCTATTTTCGATGGGTATCGAACGTTTATGACTCCCCCGCGCCGTCTCCCACCAAAACAAGTATGTAGCCTGTAAAATTTTTGTTCATCTTGCACTTACCCATGCACGCACAGTCATCGGATATCGACCATCTCACAGACGAACAGGTCCTTGGCCTTTGTTATGCCGTACCGTCCGAAGCATGGGATAAGGAAGAGTCTCCCACAGGGATGCTTCCTCATATCACTTCCGGCATTGTAGCCAAGTCTATGCTCATTCCTGTTGATGGGATGCCCTCAGAGGCTCTCATTCTCAATCTCGTGCATGAGGCAACGAATATCCCGGTCCCTCAAGTCCGACGTGTCGTTACGTCGCATTTCAAGGCCGTCATCCTTATGGACTATATTCCCGGGGCCAGGTTGAGCGATGTGTGGCATGAGCTCTCTCTCTTCCGCAAAATACGCGTAGCCATGACGCTTCGCAGTTATATTCTACAACTACGAAGTATCAGACACCCCCGTGCTTTGATTCCAGGACCGATGGCTTCGGGAAATAGGGCAATGACGTGTTGGTCTCCTCGCATCTTTGGGACTATGATTGAAAGCAGAGGTCCATTCGCCAGTTATGACGATCTTTCATCGTTTTTCAACACTCGCCAAACCATGTCACTGGGCGCTTCGTCAGAGCTTGAGAACTTCGATGACTCTTCGCACCTTGTCCTTGTCCACCACGATCTAAACATGCGAAACATCATTCTTGGTGATGATGGCCAGATCTGGTTGATCGACTGGGGTTGGTCTGGTTTTTACCCTCCATGGTGGGAATACGTTAGCATGAAGAAGCAAGCGGAGTTCGAAGAAATGACGGGAGAAAAAATTGGGCGTTTATGGTTCTTTTCATTCCATTTATATGTGATCCATTTTTCCGTCAGGACATGTGGTTGAAAAGGATGCGGCGCTGCTAATATATCTTTAGGGCGGACCTGTTGTTTATCGTGTTTACATATTCCAAACGTTCGATGTCAAGTATAGTATGAACGGAAAAATAGAAGTGCGTCCATTAAGGGACGCCTCGATCTTCGATTTCGAGCTAGGCTTGGAAGGTTCCTCGTCGTCCAGTGCGGATGTTTCTGAGATAGAAATGCTAGGTACTGGTGCTGTGGAACGAATGAATACGATGGTCATGAAGATAACGAGCTCTTACCCACAATGAAATTCGTTCTATCTGTTGTATCGCGTGTCTCTCGCTCAAGTCTTTCTCTTTTCGTCCGAGCCATCCTCATGGTCGGAGCAAGAGTGAGAGTACCGCTGAAAAACACCTTTGGTTGTCTCCAGCACCGTCATAGACCATCCTTCCAGTACATCGTGCTCGCTGGCATACCGTGCTCTATTCTTGTTCGAGAGCCTTGTAGTAGTTGCAGGTCGATACGAGGGAGTATGGGATTTTGCGATGCTAAAGCTGGTCACCGTTGAGCGTTTGTGTGAGAACGAGCGTTGAGAGGGTTAAACGTCTGTACCGAATGAAAAAAACGAACAGGACACACGAGTGACGTCACTAGCTCAACCCTATCCACCATACACATTCCAAAATCCCTTCTCCTCCACCGCCAGTCCTATATTCCCCTTGGTTCTCTCGTCTATGGGGTGTGGATAGTGAAAACTGGCAGATATACACTCGGAGCGGGCAAAGGACCAAGAAGGCTCAGGTGCGCACGTGTCTGTTTCATTCGAATGTTACGCAATCTGCTGGAGCCAGGAAAGTTGGGAAAGAAGACGTAGCGATAGCCCTGGAAGCTGTCGCGGCCTCGCAGCGTCGAAGGTTGGTCGAGAACACGTAAAGGCCAGGTGCACGTTGTGGTCCATCCTACGCGAACAAATGTCGTTCAGTCAATGGCAGAAAGCTGAATCCCAGTGGTGGGTAGCACTGGAGCAAACCGTGCATGGTGTTGGCGTTGGCGTTGGCAATGGTACCGGTACTGTTCGTGTCACTGCGAAAGACAAAACAGGAGGTAACGCGTGACCATGTGGCGTTCGCTTAGTTAATTGTGGATCCAAATGGGTCCCTTAAGTACTTCCACTTCCACATTGACATTTGTCATTAAACAGTTCATTACGGATGTTTGACTGCCTCGTACGGCTTGTATCTCAGTTTATTTCCTTGTCACAGGCTAATCTATTCCTTATAGATGTCTCAAATTTGTCGGAAGTAAGTACTCGCTTTTCGCTGGCAGCTTGCACCATCGAGTCTCGACCGACCCAGTCAGTCAATTTCCCTGCTCGTCGACAGAAATATTTGATATCATCATTGTCTCTTGCAGCTCAGATTAATTGCTCCGAAATTGGGGACAAGGTGTCCATCATCAACTCGTATCTGCTTTCACCTATGCGGGCGGGCCAGATATCCTCCGCAAGCGGTAAAGAGCGTAATGTATCGACTATTGGCAGTTTGATGGTTACTACTCGGAGATATCTACTATTTGCCTCCGGATACGGCATTCGCATCTCTATGATCAACCTCTTTGGCCAATGTATTACAGACCCTTGGTCACAAAAGCCATGCCATAAGTACTGCATTTCCCAGGAGCTGGAAGGGACTTTTTGACTTAATCGCTACCACTACACAGCTCGGGTCGAATCCAAGAAAGTCCATAACCTTAGCGAAACTTTTTTTCACCGGTTCAAGGATTTCGCGTATATTTGTTGACGATATCTCAAGATCTCTGGTGCGACACATTGGTCTACTATGAGATATTTGAAACAAGTTACGCACGGAGAAACTAAAAACCCGCTCGATACATAGCAGTCGCACATGGCACCATGCGTTCGCTTAAGCGAATCTATTGAGTCTGTCCGATGACAAAAATGAATGCGCAGTGTTAGAATGGACTCCCTCGGATTCGAACCGATTGAACCGTGCGGTAGTTGTCGCTTGGCTAGGAAGTCTGTCATCTTGTGGTTTTTACCGTGAACTAAGCAGATGTACCCGTCCTGGTGTCATGAGATGCCCCCACTCATTGGCAGAAGCTCTGATTCATAGTATGATGATATGGCTGAAAGAAGGGTTTGGGTGAGATAGTTGAAGTTAGCAAGACAAAGAAAGAGGAAATTTTTGCTGGCGCGGGTACAGAGACACATGTAGCTATCTGTTCACGAAAAGACGACTAGGCTCGTCAAGGGGGATCATATTCTTGAATGAATACATTTTGCGCTTTCCTGTGGAAAAAAGGCTTCATTGTTTTTTGGATTCCCTTGGATTCGAACCGACTGCCAAACCAGATATATACCGCGATTACCAAGCCAATCGTCTATAGGTGACTTTTACCCTTTGTTAAACAGATACAATCATTTAGGTGAGTCCATTCAAAAGCAGAATACCTAAACTACCACGATATGACGTACGGATTTCGTTGAACGTGTTAGCAATTAAAATAATGGTCGCATCATTATGATATTACAACGAAACAATTGACTGAGAAAAGGATCCAGAGTAGAGCAGCACAATCCAGATAATTCACGGTGGTAAAATATGCTAGAGGCTAGCCGAGCGGACATTCAGAAAATGAAATTAAAAAAAGGTTTACGGCATATCACGGAGTGGACCGTCTCGGAATCGAACCGAGTTCACAAATGTGCCCGCATTTGTGATTGTACCAAAGTGTCCTTGAAGGTGACTTCACCTTCTGTCTGTCTGTTGAACAACACGGGGACTTCAACCGCACCTTTTCCTTCGCGAACGGGATTTTGCCTACACAGCGAAGATCATGATTTTCAGTAATAGCCACGACAATGACATAGTAACCTGAGGGCTGGAAAGGGCATAAAGACTATCCACCCGGGTCTATACAGTCTAATTTTGCCAGTCCAATACGTCCTGAGAGTCAGGTGAGGTCTGAAGAAGCCTTTCATGTGGGGACGTCTAGCGTGTACGGAGGGTCCTTTCTGAGGCATCGAAGCATTAAGAGATGCCGAAACACCTTGATACCGGATGGTAACTGTACTCATCATGGTGTTCCCGCTGGGTTCTAAACGTCCTCTCTCATGTGTGTCCTCCCTTGCATACTTGCGTGACGTTCACAATGATGAAGGGAATAGGGATCACCTGTGACCTGACAAGAGATAGTCGGGAGACGAAAAAATCTTGAAACCCGGCAGTGCCGAGCATAATTTCCTTCACCATTTGGATTGGTAGGAAAGATGGTGCCACAAGGTGTTAAGACGGCAACAAAACGACAAAACAAGCGAAGGCGTCGATATACCCTGTCACCCTCGCCCGTTAGTGCATCTAGATGTGTGCATATTACCACCTTCTGCTCGACCTGGTCCTACTAGGGTGAGACTCCATGAAACAGGATACGATGAGAGGCGTCCTGCCTTCTCGAATGACATCGTATGCCTCCCATACTCGTGAGTGTTCTATCCACTGTCCCTCTTGTGCGGTTATCACACAAGGACTTGGCGGTGGATACCGGGCTTCCGGATGGGTGTTATAGACAGGAGTGGCATGATGGGCGCAGAAAGAAGGCGGAAAATGTATGACTACCATCCGACAACACAACCCTGTTCATAGACAGAGTATTCTGGCAGGACACTGGCGTGTTTCCTAGGCAATGTTCGTATCTGTGCACACGCATGCGAACTCTGTCCGCAAGGAAGTTCTTGCCACTTCTTGTGAAACTTGAGGGGACGTTGAAGGCCATAATCAGCACTACCATTGAACTATCGAAACACCGTCAGATCGCCAATTAGGGAAAGTATCTGAAAGAGCATGCTTACCTTATATAAAGGACGGTGCTCCTCTCGCAGTAATGTCTCCTCCCAATTGTATGCCTCTGGTTGACCACGAATGCAGCACTCGCATATACTGTCCTTCCGGTGTAGCAATGCTGTTCAAACTTTGGTTCCTGGGAACTAGGTGGTCGCTGTGGGAAGGAACACGAGATACATTGACGAGTAGTAGAGGTAGATGAAGGGAAGCAGGGATACTCGGATTGTGGGTCCAGCAGAATAGTAAAGCGTTTCATGCGAGCTAGGCCTGGAAGGTTGCTGGTCATCTATTTGGGGTTTTATAATGCAGAAACGGATACTAGGGAGCTAATGAACAAGACAAACATGAAGAGCATGAAATTGTACTTACAGTGAGGTTTGTATTACATATCGGCTGTTCCATTCGTCTCTCTTCTTCATCCTTCATCGCCTGCTATAGTATCCAAACATGCGTATTACAATTCTTTCACGTTTCCAAGAGACACAGTAAGCCACCTCGCCAGTTTGAGCAATGTTATATGTTTCCCAGTCATTATACTTGCTTTGCCCATTGGTGTGGCGAGTGTTGAGAAAGCTATCACTTGCCGGTTGTCCGCCACTACAATGTTCTGGTCCTGTGAAGAGTCAAATCTCCTGGAATATCGTGATACTTTGGGAAAGTGTAAGTATCCTGGGACCAGAGAATTGATAAACACGTTGAATGAGAGACAAGGTGAAAAGGCGCACGAGTTATCCACCAAATTTTCACAGCTCAGTACCATACAGAAACATCTCCTCCACTTTCAGCGCTCGTCCATTTCGCTCTTCTGTCACTTCGTTTGGCTCGTATCGATGTTCACAACAGCTTGTGACCGTTGACCGATAAAGGTGCTGACCACAAACGAAAATTCCGGCAAGCTTTCGTCCGCCTATTTTGAACGATATACCTCTTTGGATGGCTTGAAACAAAAAAGATGGCGATAGCCCAGGAATTGACCACCATCCAATACCGGTCTCACCAGTCTTTCAAAGACTGGTGAGAATACACAAAGGCCAAAGTATGCGTGGTTATCTGGATTACACAGGTATAGGGCAGCATAACAATTGCGGAAAGCCAAATATCGGTAACAGACGATACTGAAGCAGGTCATACTTGGTGGTGATAGTGCAAGAGGGATAAATTAAGGGAAGCAAGGAGGTGAAGCGTATCCACGTGACTCAGTTGATTGTGGATCCAGATGGGTCCCTTTTTCTGCTTCCACATTCACTCTGATAGCACAAATATCAGGCTGCCTTGTGCGGTTCCCATCCAGGTTCCTTGACCTGCTGCAGGCTAATCTATTCCTGATGGATATCCTCAATTTGTCTGACACTCGCTTTTCGGATCGTTGGCTATCATTAGCAGCTCCTGCTCGCATCACCAACTGACCATCCAGTCAATTCCCTGCTCATCGACCGAAATGCTCACTGTTATCATTACCCCTTGCAACATGGAGGAATGTTTTTATTCTGGCCATATTGGACAAGGTACGTATTACCAACTCGTTCTCGTTTTGTTTTCTCCTCTAATAAGCCGGCCGGCCAGCCAGATATCCTCAATGAGCAGCAATGTCAAATGTCAAATCGCTGCTTGCTGACAGATTCAGAAGTGCGTGCACTTTTCTATATGTGTCGCTTGCTTCTGACAATTTGGGCATCACATAGTGTTCATCTTGCTATTCTGCACAACTCTCTGCCATATGAAACCCTTTGACATCCGAGGACATGATTGTCTTTCTCGATGGGACACATCGTATACGGAGCTCACCAAAGGTCGCCCATTGCTCTTCTCACTGCCAGCCCTTCGCCCGCGAAAACTATTGACCGAGTCGCATATCTGGTAATCTGCGAGCCATTATTCTTCTTGACAACTTTCTGGAGGTGATTCGTCATGAGACACATCCTGCCTTTCTCTCACTGAACCGACTCTCTGCATAACGTGACCCTTGCTGCTTTGACAGCAGTTGTTCGTTCTCTTAAGTCCGGACTCGGCAGTCAGGTGCACCCATTAAAATGAACTCTTATGACATGATCATCGATTAAGCTCTTTCCCCGTTTGAATGAGACGTCCCCAAAACACGTGTTGCACGGGAGTCACAGCCCAGCGCTGTGATATCCTTCTCTGTCACCACCATCACCTATGGCTCCAAGACGTCCCCGCGTAGGCAGACTCGAAGGAATCCTGGACATGCCCCCCGAGGTATGGCTAGAGGTAAGGGCTGATGTTACTCGATATTTCTGGTGTGCGCTACAGCTTGCCAATGCAGATATCAAGCTATCTGGCACTGCAAGACCTTCTACAGCTCTCGAGATCCTTCAAAGACATCCGCCAGGCATTTATGAGCCGATTATCAACTGCTATGTGGAAGGCAGCACGTAAAACCGTGAACTGTCCTCCTCCGATAGCTGGTTTCTTGGAACCAGCCTGGGCCAATCTATTATTTATGAACGTGTGCCACATATGTCTGCATATTCTTTTCTGATGAAATAAAATTCAACGTCATTGCTAGTTCTGCTGCAAGAGCGTCATACGCAACATAGATTTTGTCTTTCGGGCACGAATATGCTCAAACTGCAAGGATGAGGCATAAGTCGTCCACCTATAATACGACTGTGGCCTGTTTCATTCATGTGTGCAGTATCAAAACTTCCTATCCTGAGATATCTCCCGACTCAGTTGAACTTGTGATAATGATGCTATTGCCTACCAAAGAGATGAGCAGTGGGTCGTATGCGATGCTTTCGTTGCGACAGATACTCAAGTCAATTTTAAGGTTGGCGAAGAGGTCGTTTGATTCAAAAAGTCCTACGACGAGAATTCGAAGCTGTTAAAACACATTACCTCTCTCTTTCTGAGGATGAAAAGGAGGTGTATTGCCAAGAAAGGCAGAGATACATTCAAGAAGTAACTAACGTACGTGATATTCCTTTCTCACTTTCTTTTAGGTGCTAAATTAGAAACCCAGTTTATTCCCATTGGTATTGCATGGTGTCAGGAAAGGGAAGAAGAACGTGAGTGAGAGATCACTCAACTGAAGCAGGACAGAGCTGCTGCGTACGTGGAACGATTTATTTATTTATGTTCTGGTTGATAAAAGTTACCATACAGTATCACACAGAAATTAAAAGAGCAAGGCTATGAGAAAGCTTTCGACTGCCTCAAGTTTAAATGTAAGTTCCGGCATCACCCTCTTGTCAAGCAGCCATGAGCCCTCACTCGACAAGGTATTTCCTTGCACCATCACCTCCAGGACTAACTTTTTGATCGGGCTTATAGGCTGGGTAAAGATCTCTGCCCCTCTCATCGAGCTCGCCAAGGAAGCAAGCGAAAGACAAATCCAGTTGGAAGAGGAAGCCCGACGTCGTGAATACAAGTCCTTCTTTAGAGCGTGCGCTGGTTGGGGGCAAAACCGCTCTTCTATCATTGCCCTTGAACACGCTACTGTCATCGAATCCCATTTAGCTCTTGCCAAATCAGCCTTCAATTCATCTCTCCCATCTGGATCATCCTACCTGACCGCCACTCCATCCAGTATGGATTTCTGCACGTTTTGTCTTGTCAAGGATATACTCGACCTTCCAGGTGATATCGCTGTTAGTCAGGAATGTTTCGCTCTGTTGGCTGGGTTGTTTTACCAGCAATGGATGGAACAAACACACGACGAACTTATGATGACCCTCGGCATTCCTCATGCAGAAACGAAGAGCATGGAAGAAAAAATTGCATTTCTTCAGCTAGCTCGCAATGTCTTTGCGTGCAAATCATGCTTGTTTCGTGAGCTTTTCTACCCCGAGATGCTGGTGCATGACTGCTGCACGTGCTCACGAGATATCCCCTTGACAACCTTCTCTACTTTGGAAAACAAGTGTGCATGGAATGCGGATAGTCTGGTGAAACATGATGCTCTGTCACAGTTCATGATAACTTTGATGCAAGCGACTGGTCTTAACCCGGCGAATGCGTCAGCTTGAGATCTCGACTATTTAGCGCATTATTATCTTTGCATTATTTGTCAAAGGATGACTCTTTCTGAAGGAGGATCAAAGACTATGTATTACAATTTTGCGCTATATCTTATCTTATCGGCTCTCTCGTAATCTCGCTATGCTAACTTTCCGGACTTGATCGCATCCTACCATGAGGGTTCAGTACGTTTACTGCACCGTTGCAGACTCTTGTAGTATATTTAGCACGACCCAAACTGTATTTAAGTAGCTCGACTGCAGGTCTTAAACCTCAGTCTCGAACTAAAGTTTATTCACCCGATAACTTAGCCGGAACTCACTCTTGCTCAACTAAGCGATAGCTGCCTGCACATAAACCTGTGAGCAACATAAGGCGCCTGACCAAAGTGCGAGTCACGCCTAGTTGTTTGATCTTGTTTGTGTAATCGGTCGCTAACAATTAGTTCAAGACTTTCTTACTCTTCATCAACCACCACGTTGATGAACAGTAACGAATGAACCCCGTTGAACAATACCTTACCGATCTCTTTGGACTACAAGGCCTAGTTGCCGTAGCCTATCTCGCGTTCCTATATGGATACGAATACCGAAGAGCCCAGGAGCCAGTCTCCGAAGAAGCTATCCCTGTCGAAGCCCCCAACCCGGAGGCTAGACGACTGAACACACCCCCTCCAGACTACGTCGATGACAGGCCCGAACCCGTCATCCAGTTCATCTTCATTGCAGACGACGAGTGGATCACAGAAGACTCCAACACAAGCGAGTCCAGTGAGTCCAACTCCGAGATGGAAGGATGGCCCGCACAGAGAGGCCCAGTCATTGAAGAAGAAGAAGAGCGAGGACTCTACGAGCAAGGGATGGATGAGCATGTTCTCTCTCCCATTACCGAGGAGGAAGGAGAAGGGGAAAGCGAAGGAAGCGATCCCTGGAACGCCCCTTCCCCCACTTCAACCGAAAACTCAGCCGCCAACCCTGGATATGATTCAGACGGACAGCGCCTCTATCAAAGAGGGCTTAGACATCATCTGGGAGAAAGAAGAGTGACTGAAGATGGAACTAGAAGCAGTTCAAATGAGGAGGACAGCCATACAGAAGAAGACAGTGACAGCGACGAGCTCCCAGGGCCGCGCAACAACTGGTCTCCCACAGGATTGGACTCACGAGGAGAAACGTGGGGCAACTACTATGCCCGCGATGACTCCTCAGATGACGAAGGAGGTTACCTCAACCTTATCACCCGACCAAACACCCCGCTTGTCATCAACGATGGAGCCGGGGAAGCAACCACAGAGCTCGACCAGTGCGAGCCCACCTACGACGCCGATGCCAGCTGCGATATATGCCGACAAGTACAGGACTATGCCGACACGTGGCTCATGTACAAAGGAATCGAACCCCCTTCCTCCGTCGTCCCCTTTGCCATATACCCCCTCGCCCCAGAACACCCCCTCGCAGCCCTGATCCCCTTCATCGCACCTTGGGTATGGGATAGACCCAGAAGGCCAGACTTCGATCAGGTCGTTCTCAGGGTCAATGAGTGGGCCCGAATCATCACAGGAAGCCAGGAGCCTTTCGAGCGAGTCCGACCAATCGGACTTAGAAGAAGGAGAAGTTTACGAGAACCGTGGAACAGGGCTGACTTCGATATGGAGTGGCTACACCGGGCAGGAGAGTACGGCAAGGAAGACATCATCCCGGAGTTCGTGGAAGGATCTAGCTTGGGAGCCTACAGAGGCCGAGCTAGATAATATGATGTACTTGGAAATGTTACATTGGATCGAGAAAAAGCTACCGTGAGAACTCTTGTGGAACAGATCCCGCCAAGGCAGATATTTCCAAACCAACCGGGACAACCAGATCGGCGGGCAGGTACTGTACCGAGAAACCCTCTTCCATACCAATATTCTATGGAACCAAGTACATCCAGATGACTATACAGAACCAGGGGAACGGTACGTGGTACCAGAACCCTTGGAAACTTCCAGCGGAGAAACGGTGGACTTGAGCCACCTATCCATTCTCAAAAGAACAGGGTACGTCGACCCTAGCCGGCTATTCGTGGCAGCAGGAACCCCGGGAAGCGCGGGCGCAGCAGCAGCAGCCCTCCCTGCAGTCCCTGCACCAGCACCGCAAGGACCTCTATCCCCGCATCATAACCCCGCATTACGATCCTTACCACGCCCGGCGGCAATCCCTATCCCCGCCGACCCCATACAACCACCAAACACGCCACCACCATTCATAGTCGGAGTGGCAAACACAAACCCATGGGGACAGGTGAAACCGCAACTAGTGGAACCCCCCGAGAAGTTCAAGGGGGAGTCCAACGACGTGGAGTGATTCCTCAATCAGTGCGAGGACTACTTTAATGTATTCCCGCAGCAGTTCACGATGAATGCGCATGGACAAAGCCCTAACCGGGTGGTGTTCTGCACATTCTGACTCGCGGACAAAGCATTACACTGGTGGAATCATGCCAGGGACGATTACTATGACGAAACGTGTGGATACCTGCGATATCCGGCCTGGCAGATGTTCCGGCAAATCATGGAAGACCAATTCCGGACAGACGCGGAAGTAGAACTCAAACTACAGGAGTTCAAACGCATCCGACAAAACACCTACAAATCAGCAAAGGAGTTCTTCTGAGACTTCGAACGCTTGGCGAAGGAGTCCAGAAAACGTCACAACGAGGAATACATGATTGAAATACTCAAACCGGCCATTCGAAAGAACGTCAAAACAGCGATACACGCCACTGGGACCGCATTACCACGAACATACGTGGAGTGGAAGTTCAGGGTAGAACAGATGGACTACAATTACCGAGTGGGACTAGCAGAAGACGCGGGCAGAACTCCCGGAACACCAGGGACGCTGAACAAAGGGAAGACGGGGAACTCGGGAACTTCCCAAGGTGACAGGAAGACAGGAACAGGAACCACGTATGGAGGTCAGGGGCAACCGATGGAAATAGATCGACTGCGGAAAGAAGGACGATGCTTCCGCTGCGGTCACAAGGGACATTGGAAACAAGACAACAAGTGCCCCAAAGACGAAAGTATGTGGCTGGTCAAGCACCAACCCAAGTTCTCTTGAGCCCAGATCCGCACCATGTATCAACAGGTAGTAAAGGAAGAAGAACAGGAAGCCTCTACATCGAAGATCGAGGAGGTAAAAGACGAGCCGGCGGCATAAGCGACAAACGCGCGTCGGCTAAGGACTTAATTTCATTTAGTGGTGCGTCACAGAAACCCGCAGGTCGGACTAATATACCGCATGTAGTATCTCGAGGCAATGATCAAACCTTCATGCATTCACAAAATGAAATTACTCAGTCGCATAAAAAGAACGGTGTACAGGGGATTACCACCATGCTCGAAGAAGAACCCCATACAAGATCCTTGGCCACCGGTGCGAAAGCACAAGCGGCTAACGCTGCGCAAGGCGGCGGGATACTCGGGATCAACCTCACTCCGTCGGGGGCAGATGACGGCGCAGGGAACAGAGGAAGAGT